TCAGCTTCATGCACCAGTGAATGGTAGAAGTAATAGTTTCAGAAGTAAGTCAACACGCAGCGTGGGAATTTTGCAACTTTTTACTGTAAATGACAATATGGTATATAGTTGGAATTTAAACTCGGGTAGATTTGCAAACTGGAGACCAGACCTGCAGATATTTTTGACTCAAGCAGTAAAACTACGTATTCATTTCCCCCCAGTGAGATGAGATGCAATGCAACAGAAAAAAAAAAAAAAATCCATCTGGAGAAAATCCTTATAGTCCAGAAGCTTTAATCTAAAACATCTCTCACTTTGTGTGTTTTGTATTTTTGCTGAGACTCAGAACAATTTGGCTGAAATCCTGCCTTAATTCAGAAAAGGTCTGCCGCAACTCAGCTCACTGGAAGTGCTGCCACGCACTCCTCTGCTTGCCTCCAAAAGGCCTTTTGAAACGCTGAGCTGCTCACTCTAAATGACTGACCTGACACTGCTAACAAAACAGTCAAGAAGACCAATTTAAGTACACGGGCAACACTAAAAAAATCAGTAACATTATCTATTTGCATAACTGCTTTAAAACTGTTTTAAAGTTCTACACATATCAACTCCCAGAACTATAAGGGCAGAGAGGAGAAAATTACCTGAAGATGTTAACAAAAAAAGAAGTCTGATAATAAATATTATTCAGTTGTGTTTCAAAGTCTTCCAAAAGCTGAGACACAATATGAAGCACCTACAGATTTAGTAAAGTGAAGCTGAATAATCGAGACCACAGTCCCATTAGGGCGTACCCTCATGCTTATCTTTAAATACACAAGCTCGTTGGGACTGAACAGGATTCCAAGTGGTTGCAAAACCAAGGCCTAATCTAAGAGATTAGAACACATTTTTCAATTAATTATATAAAAAACTCAAAAGACTATGTTAACAAGCAAAAGGTATTTTATTCCAGGAACATCACAGAATGAAGTTAATTTTTGACCAGAAAACACGACAAGCATTCGCCTAAAGAATGCATCAATAGCAAATTAAGAGCATGTGAATAAAATTAAATGCAATTTAATCATCCAATGTGGTCTTGGCTGCCAGCAATCACTTGGAGTTTAATATAGGATTCCTTAACTTGTTGAACCAGCTTGCCAAAAGCCATTAAGAAAATCATTAACAGAAATGTCAGATTTTATTACACTATTCACATCACTACATATTATTACTCAAAAATTATCAGCCCTTGCACAGAAGAAAGTCTGTTTTTTCTTAAGCTGTCCAACTATATAGCACCCATTAAGAAAGTCCCACATACCACGTTACTTCAGGAAACTTACCCTAGAGATTAATGCCTTGGCTTCCTCTATCGTCTTCTTTATCACTTGCTGCATTTTTTCATTTGGAGCTAAAAATAAAAGACAGTTATTTACTAGACCACACTTAGTATAAAGAAACCAAGTAAATGGCCTGTCTGGGTTTGCTCTACTCTAAGCAAATGAACCATCGTTAAATCTCAAAGCAAGAGAGATGCTACTAAATTGCAGTCTACTTAATACTTTGATAGTTCATCACTGTATTTCTTACTAATTTAAAACAGTATTTCTCATGGGAGAGCCAAACTTACTTTTCCACAAAGAAATCTGGCTGGTATTTGGAACTTCATTTGGGACAAAAGTACCGAGTAGAAAGCCACAGCTATAACCTCATACTCTGCACAACTAAAACCAAGAAACTCTTTTCCATGCTGTACTTACAAATATTGTGGGCTGTACTGGCAAATATGCTTTAACTGAGGACTACAGCTTGGAGCTTTCGGAATTTTTTCAATTTTTTCTAATTAAAATTTCAACCTAATGTAAAATGCAGTTTTGCAAATATAATGTGCATTTCATATCATAGTTACCTATTTTAATTATTAAAAGCCTCTCCTCAAATACAAAAAAGTCCAGTTAAATCATACCCATTCACAGCTGAACACTGAAATGCATCATTTGATGGTATTTAGTTTGGTCCACATTTATACACTGTTCAACATTATAACTTTGTTAATATTACAAAATTGTCCTTCCACTAATAAATAAATGACAGAGTACAACTACAAGTAAAAGTGCAAGTAGTCCTTACACTAAAGTTGATGCAAACTTTCACCGTAAGGCACGACGCTAACAACCATGCTTTGTCTGCATGCCTATGTATAAAGTACTCAGCTATTTCTGAGAGGGAAAATGTCTAGCTATAAAATAAACTCTTAAGCTCAGCAAAGGATTAAATATGGTTGGGCAGTGTGTTGTGATAGAAGAACTACTGCCCTCCAAATAAGACATTCAGAGTAAGCTAAAGGGCTGCTGACCTGACAAGGGCCGCTGTGGTGTCTGGAATATAGGGACAGACACCACAAAATCAGAAAAACAACCTGTCAATGTATCTCAGAACCTCTACATTTACAATTAATAAATTAAACAGTCAAAGTTGTTTCTGATAACTGTTTACTCTTTGAAGTTTTCTTCCAAGTACTACAGTCACAAAATTAGACAGCGTATGTGCTAAAGAGATACCCTACTATTTAGGCTTTTAAATCAACATTACACCAGGTCCTAACCCAAGACAGAAGACTTATATAAGTAACTGATAGTTTAGCTAATCTATTGTGGAAACAGGCTCCTGAAATAGCTGTCACTTAACAAATCTACAACTTCCTTTAGTGTAGTTTACTTATAGGATGATTTTTGTAATTAGCAAATGAACATGAGCTGGCTCACATGCTGGCCTGAAATCAAATCTATACTTAGTACCTACTCAGTTTTTAATTCTTCCAGGACAGTGAGGTAAATGAGAAAGATCCCAAATTGCAGTTTTTATGTTCCTCACTATGTTATAGGTTATCTGTGTCTACAGGAAAAGAAACATTTACATTTGATTTACCGTGCCCATTTCTTCGCCCAATTTCATCCTTCTTAAAGACACTTCCACCACTCGGTACACACTTTTCTGCCCACTCATCCTTTAACTTCAGTTCTTCAATTTGCTCATCTGTCAGTCCTTGCATATTATAAGGTAAGTAAACACCATGCTCCGCCAGCTCCTCCATCTCTTTAAAGCATTCAGAAAACAAGATTTAAAAAAAATCTGTGTTATTGAGACATACCAGTTACAAAAGCTTTTCACATTATGCACTTGCAGGCAAACCTTACTCCTAGCCTTCAGTTTTTAAAGAGCTAAGTATATGGAATAAAAGTAAGGTATATAAATACATATACATAAACATATATGCTGCAATTACATTCACATTTCACGCATATATGAAACAACATAACAAATGACAGTGCAGGTATACAAACCCATGTGATATTTGCTGGCCATAAACTTTTTATCTTTGGTATTTCCTTAATCAGCTTTAGCTGACAGCTTTTTCTAAGTACTTTTGGGAAAGCAAATTTTTTCAAAATGGGAAAAACATTTTATTCTTATAAAGTAATTTCTTTTCAGTTGAGAAAATATGTGAGTGGGTTACCTATAGGTTTGTCCATAAGGACTACTAAAACAGGTGTCTTGGTTTCAGCTGGGATAACATTAATTTTCTTCCTAGTAGCTGGTGCAGTGCTGTGTTTTGGATTTAGTCTGAGAACAGTGCTGATAACACGCTGAGGTTTTAGCTGTTGCTAGGTAATGCTCAGTTCATGAGGACCTTTCAGTCTCTCATGCTCTGCCAGTGAGGAGAGGCACAGGAAATGAGGAGGAAGCAGACAGGACACCTGACCCAAACTAGTCAAAGGGGTATTCCATACCACAGCACATCATGCCCAGTATATAAACTGGGGGGAGTTACCTGGAAGGCTCAAATTGCTGCTTGGGTTGGGTAGGGTATCGGTTGGCAGGCGGCGAGCAATTGTATTGTGCATCACTTGAGTTTATTGATTTTTTTTTTTTCCCCTTTCCCCTCGTAGTTTTACATTCTCTTCCCTTATCATTATTATACTGTACCTTAGTTACTGGACCGTTCTTATCTCAACCCGTGGAATTTACATTCTTTCGATTATCCTTCCCATCCCCTTTGGAGGAGGTAAGTGTGAAAGGGAGGTGAGCGAGCAGCTGCATGGTACTTAGCTGCTGGCTAGGTCTAAACCGCGAAGCTAGGAGAAGGTGGCAATCTACACATGGCTTAGCGTTTCTGGCGGATTGTTTGCATTCTCATAAATTCAGGGCAGGCTGGTTTACCTGCCGCTAAACTGGGATCTGACAGGCATTTCTTAACTTCGCAAAGCACTTAACTTCTGCGAGGCCGCACGCAAGGTGGCCCTTCAGCCCCCTGCCCGGCAGCCAGCGGGGCACCCACACCCGCAGACCGAGCAGCGCCCCAGCCGAGAGCAGCGCCCCCACCTCTGCGTGTGAGGGGTGGGGGTCGGGAGAGGGAGGAGATCGGCTGCCGGTGGGCGGAGGCCTGCGTGGCGGTACCTGAGCAGAGCCGCTGCACCTTCAACCTGCCATTGTAGATGCGGGCGACGAGCGGCGCCAGGTCGGCGAGGCGAGCGCTACCGGACACATGGAGCAGGAACTGGCTCTCGTCGCCGCGCTTCACGTGCAGCCGCACCATGCCGGAACTGAACCGCTCTGCGCCTGCAAGGGCAGAGGAGGAGGGCACCGTTAGAAGCAGTCACAGCCACGCCCACCACAGCAACGGATCCGCGTCCCTGGATACCAGCGGCGGGCTGGCAAAGGCCGCTCCCGGCGACCCCCAGCCGCCTCCCTCCTTCCCGTCCTTCTGTTCTCCCTCTTTCCCCTCCCTCTCTCCCTCCCTCCCTTTCTGTCTTTTTTTCTCTCCCTCTCTCTCCCTTCCTTCCTCCCTCTCTTCACGCACCTGCCCAACCGCCCACTGGAGCAACCGTAACGCCCACCGCGCGCCAGCCCTGCCCCTCGGCTCTTCCGCTTCCGGCCCTCCCGCTGCCGTCACGAGAGTAGCTTAAAGGGCCCGGGTGGCTGCGTGCAGCAGTGATTCACCCCAGGGAACACAGAACCCATGGAAACGTGTGGAGCGTCTCTAATTTTAATTCTCATTATCTGCAGAACTCCTGCTAGTAATTATTGGCGTTAATACACGTTACAGTGGTTAGCTAGATATATACACACACACTTTATTTCTGGAGAGTTCTGGTGATGTTTGCAGTATGTCGCTGTCAGTCTCCATAATCCTGTAAAGTGTAGAGGTGCTGTATACCAGGTACAGTTTAGCCAGTAGTTTGTAATCACTGTAATTAGATACTCAACGAAGAACATATTTATCCACTAGCAAAAGTTCCCCCCCCCAATTGTTTTGAAATAATGTAAGAATATACCAAAACACCAATCACACAGATGTTTATAGCAACAGTTTAAAACAAGGGAATTCACGCACTGAAGCACACAAGGAGTATAATACCACTGCTGTGTAAAATGTACAAGTGCTGTTTAATGGCCTGAACAGATACAAAGCGCAATAGAAAACTCACGATCCTTTACCCAACTGCAGCTTATGGCCAACCATACACTGTTTAAAGGAAGAGTGGATTATTTTATAAATAACCTTTTGACAGCATTTTAAAAAAAGTACTTACACTGTGCGTTTGGCTACTGTAAATATAATGCTAGTATGTTGTGTTTCAGTCCCTGGTTTTGCAGAACCAGTAGCCTGTTCGCAATTAAGCCAAGGTGTGTAGGGATATATTTGCAGTCCCCCAAGAGATGACAACAGCACGACACGTTCAGCTTTGGATAAAAGTAGGCAGCTGTGTAATAGTCCTAAGTAAATGTCCGAAGACACTATGAACTGCAAGGAGAACTGCAGGGTTGTTATAGCACACATAAATGGAGCTAAGGAAACTGGTTATTTTAAATTGCCTCTGGATAACAACATGCCATATTATATGTAATCTCATTTGAGCTTTAGAAAATCATGAAAGCACAAAGAGTTATGTTTTTATAGCACAGCATGTAGAATGGTGACTAAGCCTTCACTAGCCTCAAAGCAGCACCACATTGACAATGGTCCCTGTCACTGAGTGAGGAAGTCACTCATTCAGTTTTAACTGCAGAAGTGATGGAATGATATTGTTCAGAGAACTACTGTTCTCCTTGTTTTCTTTGAAAGTACAATTTTACAAATACAGCAGTCAGTCTTGTGGATGGGGAGGATGCTGAGTGGAGAACTCTATCACACAAGTGACCATCTCCTCTGCTGTTACAACATGGCTGCTAATTCCTTTGCTCAGGGCTTTCTATAGGACCCTTCTAATGTGCAGAAGAGCAGAATGGGACAAGCCAACTCCAATATGTTGGCTGCAACTGATGAAGACCACTTTTGTTTCTCAAAACCCAAGGGGAATTTTCTTCCCAGAGGTTAATGGAAAACTTGTATCAGTTGTTTCTGATCTGGCGGGGGGAAGGGAAGCATCTTTAAAATAAGTGGATGATATGGAACAGTTATTCTGAAGTAATGCTAGTGAGTGTATGTCACAGTAAGATTTAATAGCTGAAATATACTGACACAGAAAATTAAAATACTGAATATATTAATAAGCAAATTTTTGTTTGAAATTAAACTATTTTTGTTGTGCCTCACATTCAAATATATGCCTTACAAATATCCACAGCCTCTGTTATAAATTAAACAACTTCTAAACAATAGTTGTCAACATTCAAATCTCAATAAACTTTGGCAGCTCTTTGGTAAATATCAATTTATAAATATCAATTAACAAAACAGTAAAAAGGGAATGGGGAGGCTACCAGCAAGGAGCCTCTTTCCTAGAAATTCCACAAAGAGGAACATAAATGGGAGGGCTCCCTAAGCAGAAACCATTTTCAAGATTGCTATATTTTAATGAGATTAGTAGCTCATCCCTCTTTTCTCTGTCTATGCAAACACTATTACATTGGGATTTTAATACATTTCAGACAATTTTTTGTGCTCTACCATATATACATATTCAAAATTTATACACAAACAAGAGTGGCCGTTTACGAGCAGAGTTACGTTTCAGTGCATTTGACATAATTATTGCACACAGAATAATCTCAAATGCCCAATTATTCTACTGGATAAATGTAGCAACAAATATAACCTCTTATATATTTGAACAGCTATCTTTCTGTAAAATCCTGTGTTGGTGACACCTTAGGTGCCAAGGAAGTGAAAGGATCTGTGGGGGATCTGTTGCTGGTTACTCTTGATGGTATGGGAGGTGCAGGTGGTCTTCTTGCTGGCATTGTATAGAAGCAATCAGTCAAACTTCTATTCCAGTCATTATCAAAGTTAAAGTCTGAACCAAGAAAAGTATTTTGCTCAGTGCCCAGCAAATCTGGAGAGCCATCTGACTTCCTGGAGCTGATTTGCTTAATATCTGGAACACTTTTAGATGGCTTTAGCTTTACGTTGAAATTATCATCATCATCAAATGTTACCCATCCTTTTGGCTGTACGTTTTTTACCATGACAGATTTACCTGGCAAGCAAAAAGTATTTTCAGACGCATCCACAGAAAATACAGGCTTGCCTGTATTACAACTGAGAGGATTTAGAGAAGGGAAAGGATTGCAAGAGGCACGTCCTTCTAGTAAACGTGAAGTTATTTCAGACTCTTGTGTATCTGTTCTAAATGGGTTTCCAGCATTAGGAGTTCTTTCAGTGAATGGGTTTGTGCAGTTCAGTCCAGTAATAAATGGATTTGGAGAGCTGCGCTTATGTTCCTGTGATGTGTTAAAGGTCAGAACAGGAGGCATTGCTGGCATGCAATTTAAAGTATTCAAAATATCATCATTTCTTTGTGTTGCTGAAGGCAACTGTATCGACTCCTTCTGGTTCAAAGTTGGAACAGGTGATTTTCGGACAGATGTCTGCATCTTTGACACAAGCAGCTTAAACGACAAATCTTCAAAAGGGTCACTGTTTAACTGCGTTTCAAGTTTAGTGCCGTATGCTCCATTTGTTTTCATCTGGAAAAAAAACAGGGTGCTTAGTCATCATGTGGCTGGCTGTCTTGAGATTATTACTAACTCCCCATTTCTCACTCTTCTATGAGAAGAAAAGAAGCTCCTGGGCTTTAACTGAAACTTCAGTACAATTTGGTTGTAACTTGCACAATGCACTTGTAGTATAATTGCTTCTTTTCTGGAGAACAATAACCCTTAACTCCTTCTCTGAAGAAAAGCCTACTAGTTGTTAAACACATTTTTCCCTGTTGTTGGTTGATGCAGCTTGAATCTACTTCATGCAGGTCAGAATCCTAGCCAAAAGCACCAGTGGACATTGTATAATAAAATGCTTAAGAAACTTAGAAAATTATATTGTATTCTAAACAAGTGATAACCCAGCACAAATATGAAATAAAAAGCTCTAGGTTTCATTGTTTGTGAGTTTATAACACTGATGTTACAAGCAATATTTAAGCATCACAATGAAAGGAAAAATTAGTGTTATTAGTGTATGCACTTCAAACATTTCTGTGTAGACATATGCCTCTGTAGGCATCTCCAGCACTTCTTGAAATGTGAAGGTACGATCATCAGTTTGTATTACTTTAAAATGGCAAGTTATCATTGTTTAGAATAATATCAAATGGAGAAGACAGTTTTCTCCACAAAACTGTTCATATTTTAAAACAAAATATTCCCATTTTTATAAATTTATTCAAACAACAATGCAACTTTAGTACCTTGTAGCAACTGTCCAAAATGGTACACTACCTGCACTATCTTGCTCAAGTCATCACACTGACAGAACAGAGTTTGGAGCTCCCCCTTATTTAATGAATGCAAAGAATTAAGCTTAAGTTAACACAGCTTCTGAGAAGTCAAATTTCACAAACTTGTCATTTTAACACATCATCTTAATATACCCAAACAGTTTGGATATTTAGCATAAAAATTCTGTTAACTGATATTCTGTTGAACTAGGATGCTAGCTCAAATTATCACTAAAATACAATATTATTATAGCCTAACGTCAATCTTTAAACATCTTGTTTTGACTGCATTTATTGTGAACAGTTTGAAGCATGTCTCCACCTATCCTCTGCCTAGGCAGCTATGCAAAATCAGTCTACAGGCTTTAGAGACTCTCAGGAATAATAACAATATTGTATGTTTTCCCCAGTATATCCAGCATAGCAATTTCCTTTAAAAAATTGCAATTGCAGCTTGAATTGGCTGGCAAGAGAAAAGAAATATGCTGGCAAAAATGCATTTACTCTGGTGGTGGTTCTTTTGAAACAACAACATTGGTTACGTGCATCCTTGGTACTACTACATGAGAGTTTCTAAAATAGATGAGGCCTAATGTTACCAAACCCTAAATACAGTAGTTCAATATTGGGATTTTCGTACGTATATAGGAAGCATTTCAGAAAGTAATGTCAAAACAAATGCATCAAGTAACTGAGGGGGGAAGTGTGAAAAATCGAACTGTAGAAACAATATAAATCACATGCAGCTTGACATCAGCTGGTTAAATCCTGTGTTCATTAACCATGTGATCTAAAAGTACAAGATCCCAAAGAAACTATGAATCCCAATTGTTCTTTACTGTAAGTAAAAAAATTGCAGAATTCTGAATAATTCCGAAACCAAATACTTTTAAAACTGTAGTAGACAGTATATTTTACTTTGGATAATAGTAAGCTCTCTATTCGTTGAGATACGTAAAATATGGGTTTTATTTTGAAAATACTTTGGCAGTGCAATTGCATCAGGATTTATTTATATTAAAGAGAAACATTAACTCCAACACCTACTCATTTTTTTCCAAACAGACCGAGACCAGGAGATTTGGCAGTGGCTAAGCAACATACTTGAGGTTCCAGTTGTTTCATAAAAGATGAAGCAAAATATTTGCTATGGTACTAATAAATACAGTTAACAGTATCAATTTGAATTGCATTATGAAAGGAAAAAGCAAACTATGGTATGATAGTCAATTCATTAATGTGGACAGGTGATTTTTTACATGGATGAGACCACAGATGTATGAAAACAAGATTCATACATCTTTTCTGCTTGAATAGATGGAGAGACCACATACAAGATTGGTAAATAGTCAGATACCTGTTACCCTGATGGTTGCTCCTGCTTGTGAAAGAGAAACAGACATTAAAGGAAAGAATATTAGGAAGAAAATCCAAGTAACAAAGCAACCTCATGTTAAAAATACTTTAAGTTTTCACAAAGCCATTTTTTTGAGATATGAATTCAAACCAAAAATACGTATTACACACTATACTAGATTTTAAATCTCTGTTGTATTCTACTATAAGACTTACAAGCTCTATCATTAAGAATCAAAAAAACCGAGATCAAGCCAAATCTGATATTATTCCCATACAGACATTAATTGTGCAGCTGATTGTGCTATTTTCTGACTATTGATTTTCTAATTCTAACCATCTATTAACATGAAAAGCATTGTAGCCCTCATTCTGGAAACCGTGTTGGTATAATCATTCTTCTATAGTAATAGTTTTTCAATTGAAGCTAAAAAAAGTAATACTTCTAATTGAATAAAACCCCAAAATCTCCTTAATTTACAATAAGTAAAATCTATCAGGAAAAGAGAAGGAAAAAAAACCCAAAACACACACCAAAGACAAGTGGGCTTTCCTTGTGATTGCACAGCTGGTATTAATCAAATTTTGTGGAGAAAATTACAGCTGCCTGCACTAGTCTTAAACTATCTGCTTTGGATATTGTTAACAATATAGCTACAGCATTACACAGCTCCAACACCCGTTTACAGTGTTCTTAAGCCTACTTTTGATTGCTGTGTGTAGACACAAATTTAATTTTCATAGTAGTTTTGAAACAACTGCTTGCACCCCTTTCACAAAATGATTAATGGTAAAATTATATTTAGAAGGTGTGAGGCTTTCAAAAGTGACACAATACAACCTGTTTCTATTCACAAAATTGCCATGGTCTCAAATACCGTATGCATCCACGTATATTCTCTACTGGCAACACTTCATACTTTCCAACAAACTACAGAAAGTCCTAATATTCTACCTGTATATTAAAAAATATCCTCTGGTTTTTAGCCTAGGTTTCCAAAATGAAAAAAAGTTAACAGCAGAGAAAGGTTCAGTATAAAGGAAGAGATTTTAAAGATTTTTCAACTAGAATTCAAAATCAACTTACTGAGGAATGAATTCGGCTGTACAAAATAGGCATTAGCTAACTTCTTCAGTGAAAGTGGGCTTCAGATGTCAAGTAAAATCTAAAATACTGGTTCAAGCCTATGCAGTTATAAATATCCACAGTTGAGCAGCTTTTTAAAATAAATAAAACAAACCCCTGAACGCCTGAAAACAAAGCCACAAATCTACTTATGGTCAGAAGTGGGCATAAATTAATCAGCTTCAATAAATCTGTGCTTTTATTCGAGTAGCATGTTATCTGACCTAGCACCTGACACTGTGAAAGCTAAGAGCGCTAGTCTTTAGTGAAGAAGTGTAGCCTTACGTATATATAAACAACACTGAAAACCTACTTCTGCATTTTTAAGCAGTAGTTTCTTGTTTTCTTTTGTTGTATTTTTTTTTTAAATAACACTCTAAATGGTCTCACAGAACAGAATATTAATGTTGCTGTGTTCAATTTTCATATTCTTTTGATATGTTTCTGTATTTTAACTGACACTGGGAAATGCGGAGAAATGTATTTCTATTAAGTACCTATCAGTATCATCTTCTTGCAGTGAATTATCAACATAAAGCACCACATCATGCAATCGATAAAGCTTACTTTATAATAAAAACCTGTATTAGCTAGTTACTATGTCATTTGTCATGCATGTGTCATTATAAAATTACATTTCTCATACTGAATTTTTTCACATACAAAGCTGTCAAATGACAACATAATTTTAAGAACAAGATGTCCATAAGTTGTAAGAAATCTTAAGTTAGATGTTTAGTATTTAAGATTATAGTTATTCATGGACAACAAGCAATTAAGTAATATGCTACTTGAGCCTGATGATCTTTGAATCCAATCTTTTGACCTTTATTTTTGTTTGTTTGCTTGCTTTAGGAGTTTCTCACAAATCTACGGCATTCTGTGCAAGCTATGTTAATTTACATAATGACAAAACATATATACAAGGGTTTGTTTACATACTTGCTGCTGTGAAGGAACAGATTCAGAAGGCAAACTCTGAGATGATCGGCTCCGAGGAGGTGGTTGTGGGGGTTCCAGACTTTGTGGGGCACTTGTCTGAGGTGGATGTGATGATACAGGTATCAGAGGCTCCTGCATTTTTAGCACAGGAGGTGTCTGAGTGGTCGTGGGCTGAGCAGGTCCAGCAGCCTGAGGCTTTAGTGGTTCAGGAAGCGACGGTGAGCCTGCAGGTATATTTGCAGTGGTTTTTATTGTAAAGAATTGTAATAGCAATCTTTAGAATAGCAGAAGGGGAACCGGACAGAACTGCAGAAGGGGCTGCAAGAACAGCAGGTATTCATGGCAACTAGATTAGAAGTCATCAAAAGCTCAGCACTGAAAATTATTACCATACTATTCAGAATTATTACTATAGATACAAAACAGAGAACCAGAAGCCATGTCATCCTTAAATGTACTTCAGTTGTATTTAAAAGTATTTTGGAAGTCATTATTATGTGTATTTTGATATTAATACAATTTAAAAAAAACATTAAATTTTTGGAACTCACTTTGAGAGTCAAACATAAACATAATAACAAACATAAATGATCACAGATCAAGTGCAGAGAATGGTTCAGTAATCAACACACATGACAGGACACATCAGTGTGCTCAGACCAAAACACAGCAATGTGATCAAAGTTTCTCGTGATGGCATGAAATCTATGGGTCTAGATCTCACCTGACTGCTGCCTGTTATCTAATGAGGGCTTACAATACTTGTGGATGATTAACAGAAACTGTCAAACTTCTCACTATATTTGGGAATCTTAATTTATCGTGAAGGAAGAAGACATCTGTTGTAAACAAAGCATTCAAACCAGAGACAGTACCTCTTAACTGACTAGTGACCTTCATATTTAACTTCTAAGGTAAACTTACCCCTTGGTGGTTCAGCTGGTTTCGTCTGAGTTTCAGGTGCTGGTCTTCCCCCAGAGGGACGTGCATGGCTTTGTGGCGCACTAATAACTCCAGCTCGAGGTGGAATAGTCTGACATAATAATTGGTAAAAAGAAAGTATTTTAGTTCTACTTTGAATCTGTATTCATCTACTGCTAAATGATTCAGGACAATCAGAATTCTGTGAAAAACAGATTTTTTGATAACAGTTGCTGAATTAATTTTTTAAGCACATATAAAAGCAAAGAATGTATTCTCAAAACACTATAAGGGTTAATTCAAAGCAGAGGATTTTTACAACAGTCTTCAACTTTATATAAATATTTACCTGTGCAACAATACAGAGACACTTCTTATTATACAACAATGGAGACACTTATTATTTTGATAGTATTAGTTAGTTTTACCTAAGTCTGTGAATTGTTGTAAGCAATAAAAACAACAGCAGCAACTACTTTATTTGGAGATCGCCTAAGGACACATTGATAACCCACTGTCAATGCAGACTGCAGGCACCATCTACCTTTTAGGCTATCGTTACAGCCTGCTATTAGTAAAGAGCAGCTTTGTCAATTTTATACAGTGAAAGTCCAAGATAAGTATAAAAGACCATGGTTAGTTCTTTCCTCTGAAACTGCAAGGCAGTTACTTCTTTTCCCCAGCAAACATTATTAATGAAACATACATTCTGCCTCATCTGAAGGCGGAGTCTTCCCAAACTTGTTGGAATAGAAGCTAATAGGCTGGGAACAGAACTGCTCCCATAAAACAGAATTAAAAAGTCTACATCAGTATTTAAAGAGAAATAGGAACCTCTTCCAGATTACATCTGAAGCCACCTGGATTACAAACACCACACTTGAAAGCTGAATGTAAAGCATTAATAAAAATGCTAGAATACAGGAAAAAAAATCAAAAACATGAGAAAAGATAGTTTGTAAGATTTGTTTCCTCACAAGTTTTGTGTACTTGATATATTCTAACAAAATCCAAGCAACAGTGGAAGTTCTAGAAATATTTCTCACAGCAAACCCTACTGCACAACTCTCTACACAAACATGATTTAAAAATCAAGCAATGAAACTTCTCCACTAAAAAAAGTGTCATCCTTGATCTTACTTATACTACTGTATGTACTCTTCTTCGAAGACACTGTATAGCATCTGATTCATTATGCTTGCCTCAGTCCATGTAACAACTTTCTAAATGCTTTAAACCACCTAACCTCTGAAATTCCTGTCTTCCCTTTTGTTGACAAGATGCAATTTGTCATTTCTTTGAACATTCTGAAAGCAGGCAGAAGGATCACAGGATTAAATACTAAAATGTATATATATATTTTAAAAAGAAAAAGACATCAGAAAGGAATAGAAAAGAAGCAGAAAGGAAGCCCAAAGAATACTCAGGACCATGCAGTGCCCGTGGCTACTGTCCCTGGTCCTGAAATCCTTGAACTACCACACAAAAAAACACTGGGGAAAAAGGCAAGAAAAGGGCATTGTGTGGAAGACAACTTCCTTCTGCAAGTAATAGAGGAACCGACAAGGAGAGGTGCCATGCTTGACCTCGTGCTCACCAACAGGGAAGGGCTCATTGGAAATGTGACACGCCAGGGCAGCCTTGGATGCAGCGATCACAACATGGCTTATAATAACTTAAACTTCGCTTCTGTCTCTCCTCCCCTAATTAAGAAAGAGCCAACTTCTGCTACTTTTTATATTAAGGTCTTTATAAAAAATAATTTTTAAAACAAGGTACAAAATTCCATTACACATCAACTAATCAGCAATATAATACCTTAACTGCCTATATAATATATTAACTGCCTGCAAGCAATTAACTGCCATCAGGATATACATTTCAGCACAGACAATAAAATATCACACGAAATCAGCAACTTAGACAACAGGAACATATAATACAAAGAATAACTTTTCACTTTACTGTTATTTGAAAGTGGACGTAAAATGTGGTATTATTTGGAAGCCTATGATGTGACCGCATAGAGTGCAGAACAATAAAGTCACGTCCATTATATATATATTCCAGGGCATTTTTAGTTAGCAGACAAGAATTGCTGAGGGAATTAACTCCTATAAGCTGTAAAATGACTAGTCAATTTTGCAGTTTTCTTACATCTGTTACGACTTACAAAACCCCACTGCCAGCATAATAAACTGTAGAAACTTAGAGGGAAAAATTTTTTAAGACAGAATACCTACCGGTCTGGTTGTACCATATCCAGCAGCTCCTGTGCTTGAAATTCCAGGTGAAGGTGGAGGCTGATTACGAACTGGAACAGATATTAGAGATTGCCGACTTAGAACATATTTCAAAATCAACTTATTTCTATATAATAATTAGTACAAAGCATGTGTCTGTATTACCTAAGTTATCTTTTCTTTGTGTTCCAGGACTTTTTTGTGCTTTGAAGCATGGAAAAAAAATAGATTATCTTTGTTAGATAAGTGAGAAATGGGTATTAAACAACAATGGTACATTATCACTAATGGAGATGGAAGCAAAAAGATGTTATTAATGTTTTTGAAAGTTGTCACATATTTAAGTCTCTCCATCAGCTAAGCTGTTACTCTAGCACACTCTTCTCCCATTGCACATGTGAAGTAATTTGACTCTTCTAATCACAAATTAAGTTAAGTCACCTCCTATGTGTTTCAAGCTAAAGATGCCCACTTGTACAGGTACCCTGTGTTGTCAGTCGTGCTAGAAGATGTCTCCTTTTGCAGTATATTCTGACAAAATTCTGACAGCAGTCTTTAAAACAAAAAGAACTTATGTAACATGCTAATTCAAAAAATCATGCGATCAGAAGAGTACATCAGTAATTATACCTGGGTCAGCTACCTACATGGTCTATACCAAAGTTCCTGAACCTCCTCTCTTTGTATATGGGATAAATATATTACAGCATCAACCTCACCATTTACATGCTGATGCTAATGACGACCTTGTATGCAACACTCAAGTTGTGAAGTGCAAGATATGAAAAAATTACCTTTACTTCAGCACAGTTTCTAACAGGCAAAGAGGTTTAAGGTTCTGGCTTGTGTTTCTGTTGCCTATTTCCCAGGAAGGTAAAATCACCATGTCAGTTACAATAACTGGAAGGAATACTCTGTGGTACGTAAGATTCTTAATTTATGAAATCGGCTTCCAGTTTTCAGACAACCCTGCTTTCTTAGAGCTGGTTAGAACAGGTTTCTGGGTACAGTTCTCAGTAAAGCAACTTGTACCCTGAGCAATCTGGCACCAGTTTATCCTCCTCTGAGCAGGAGACTGGAGTAGGTAACCACCAGAAGTCCTTTCCAACCTGAACTAGTCTATCCATTAGCAATTCTGCCAATTTAGAAAAATGAACCAGCAATATAGCCAAAAGTAATTGTAGTATATAGGAGAACATCTTGACTGTGACCGTATTAGGACTTTATTGCTATACCTGTATTTGCTAAAGGGATACATTCCTGAAACTCCAAAACATGACTCTGCTGGCACAGCTTAAACAGGACCCTATTTAGCACTCTAACTAGAATAATGCAAGAGAAGTGCTTCTCATAGATGTATGTCACATAGTTTAGGTATCAGAATCAGAATACCTACACTATGCTCTTTAGGAAGAGACAAAATGTTAAATTATAGGCTAAATTACTTACATGGAAGTTCCTCTCCCCAGAATATGTGAACATATAAATCAGGCTTCCTAGACTCCTGATTTTGTTACAAGTACAGTATGTACTCTAGCAGTCAGCTACAGCTTTATCTGAGAGCCAGCCTTGAAAGCATTCTTCTTGATCAGCTCAGTCTAAATTTTCACCTCATTTTCTCATAAATTAAGACTGCCTTCTATAACAATTCATACCATCACTGAAAACCAGAAAGCAACCTGGCTGTCTGAAAACCATGTTAAATAAAAGAAGAAAGATCCTACACAATAAATATCTTCATGAAACCACCTTTAGTAGTACAAGGGCAATAATATTACTCAAGTATTAAATTAGAAATCCATTTCTAGAATACAAAAATTGTTATGTTACCTTCTACTTCTCTCCTAGCTACCCCAGGACTGGGAGGAGCTCCAAGACCTTTTCAGAGAAAGAAGAGAAGCTGTATATTGCATAAGAAAAGCAGTAGATTGAGAAAGTAAAACCAGAAAGACACTGCCACAAGACAGCTTTACACAATTAAAAAAATGCCTAGCTGAATTATGTTACTTGTAGGAGATAACTGTTTGTAGCAGCATGGGGAAACCAGACTGATATGAACAACAATCATGTTTAGAAACATGCTATTATTTCAATTTTACATTACAGTGGAAGGTAATTTCATTTCTTCAGTATTCACTCTCCACAAACTTTTATAAATTCAGAATGGTCTTAAACGTCAGTCTTGAAACTCTGTGAAAGCAGAGCACATGCCTATATTCAGACGTGTGAAAATAAACAGGTACATCAGTTATAACCTGTAACATTAAGTCTGCTTCCTGAATTTTAGAAGAAATACTGTGTAGTATGTTTCTGCCAAGACTACATGTGTATAAGCAATTTTATGGAAGAAATGTTTCCCACTCTATATAAAAGTATCCTACAGAACTGTATGACGAAGTTATGTCCAAGCAGCATTCTGCAGTTAGGAAAGCTGTGTCAAATGGTGCACAGTAGATGTTACAGTTCAGACTGAAAGAAGATTTTTAATCATGCATAACCATGCTGAATTGTTTTGTTTTTGCAGTATGATCAAGCACATACTGGATCCTTAAAATTGTATGGTAAAAACATGGCAGGACATACATAACACTAGACCGTATGCAAGGAGAAATCCTTAAGGCATGCACATAGTAAAAAGTACCAGTAATATCTGGCAACTCTGGAGTGGCTCAAGTACAGAGGAAGGAAAGGGAGCCAGTGTTCAAGAAGCCTACCTTAAAAACAACTTTTGCCTTAGCGATGACACAGCCTCATGCTTTCTCATCATGTGCCAATGTGTGGTATCTGCTCAGGAGCTCTCTATGATCTGGAAAGAGTGCTGTGAATTTTGTCAGATATGGGTGGAGGTGTCACTCAGAGTAGGAAGAGTGAAGGCTGCATGAGGCTGGTATGTGATTATCTCCAGATATGTCATATCTCTGGTTTTGCTGAACAGCTGGTTCAAAGATGTTAAATACTAGCATATGTTATATATTCTGGGTGAGTTTCAGGCTCTGCCAATTAACATTAGATATACATTGCAAAAGTTTCTGATAGTGAACTTCTCTGCAAGAGAAGCAGCACTGAGGAGGGATGAACAGAGAGCATTTGCAAGGAGGGGGCACACGAGGAGAATGCTGCCTGAGAACACATAATTGCTTTCAGGTTCTAGCTCCCATGCAACCCAGAGGAACCCCAGGAGACGAAAGTAAGTGGTAACCCATAAGCTATGAGAAGCCTACCTGCTACCTGGAGGAAAATAAAGGAAGGTGGAGAGCAGCCCAACAGAATACAGGAAACTCCACTGAACCCTCTGAACAGCTAACTGTTCATCTCAGAGTATTAATGGAAAGGGGCACAATAAAACCTCTCCAAGAGCAGGGAATGAGCCTGTTCATTTCACGGATCTGCACATTCCCCTTCCAAAGCTCAACTCAACCCATACTTATAATAGGTATTTTCAGGATGCTCTTGTTAAGCAAATCTCGGTTTACGCAAGATGATTTATAAAGTAAACTCCTTTCAGGCAAAAGGCAGTAGGGAACCTCTTTGACCACAGACATGTCTCTATGCTGGCACACCATACATAGGAAGACTTTCATGCATGAGGATTTTGAAAGGTTTTGCAATTTTAAAAATATTCATTATATGGGAGAGAAAGGGCATAAAGGTCAAATACCTCAAATTTTACTTGCTAATAGTATTCTTTAACGGTGAGAAAGTAAAATTGTGGTGCTGTGATAATGCTATCATAATTGGCACTATAGGAGGATTTTAATCTTAAGGACAGTGAAAAAATCTGTATCTGATCATGAAACACATTTTTGGGTAGCATGTTAAACTGTTACTCTAGTCTGTATATGGCTTAAAATCTCTATTGCAGTTTGAAACAGTATTTTGCAAGTAAAGATATCACATACTTGCTTTAAACAGTATTTAAGGAAAGTGACTGGATTTACATAGAAACAAACTGTAACTCCTGCCTTGACATCTTTAGACAGAACTCCATGCTTTGCAAAGGTTACATATACACATTAGCTTTATTGAAAATAAAGAAACCCCAACTTCTCTTAAAGTAAAATGTGCATGTATGTACACAAGTGTATGTGTGTATATCTGTGTGTGCTTATATAACAGGGAAGGGCTCATTGGAAATGTGACTCTCCAGGGCAGCCTTGGATGCAGCGATCACAAGATGCTCGAATTTGAGATCCTCAGGACAGTGAGAAGAGCGTGCAGCAAGCTCACTGCCCTAGACTTCAAAAGAGCAGACTTTGGCCTCTTCAGGAACCTGCTTCGGAAGGTTCCATGGGATACAGCCCTAGAGGGCAGAGGGGCCCAAGACTCTTGGTTGATATTCAAGGATCACCTGCTACAAGCTCAGGAGTGTTGCATCCCAACTAGAAGGAAGTGCAGCAGGAGGGCCAGGAGACCTCCTTGGATGGATAAGGAGCTGCTCCTGAGGAAAATTTGATTGACAAAAGAGGCTTATAATAAGTGCAAGCAAGGACAGGCGGCCTGGGAAGAGTACAGGGATGCTGTCCGGGAAGCTAGGGACCAGGTTAGGAAAGCTAAGGCCCAGTTAGAATTAAACTTGGCTAGGGATGTTAAGGATAACAGGAAGGGATTCTACAGGTACATAGCAAATAAAAGCCAGACTAGGGAGAATGTAGGCCCCCTCAGGAAGCCCTCAGGAGAACTGGCTACACAGGATTTGGAGAAGGCTGAGGTTCTGAATGAATTCTTTGCCTCGGTCTTCACTGGCAAATGCTCTGACCAAACCACCCAAGTCTTGGAAGGCAGACGCAGGGACTGTGGGAATGAAGACCTTGCTCCCATTGTAGAAGAGGATCTGGTTCGAGACCATCTTAAAAATCTGAACGTGCACAAGTCCCATGCGTCCTGATGAGATCCATCTGTGGGTCCTGAAGGAGCTGGCGAATGAAGTTGCAAAGCCACTGGCCATCATAATTGGGAAATCCTGGCAGTCAGGTGAAGTTCCTGATGACTGGAAAAAGGGAAATATAACCCCCATTTTCAAGAAGGGGAAAATGGATGACTCGGGGAGTTACAGCCCAGTCAGTCTCACCTCTGTGCCTGGCAAAATCTTGGAGCAGATTCTCCTGGAAGGCATGCTAAGGCACATGAAAAACAACAAGGTGCTTGGTGACAGCCAGCATGGCTTCACTAAGGGAAATCCTGCCTGACCAATTTGGTGGCCTTCTATGATGGGGCTACAGAACTGATGGACAGGGGTAGAGCAGCTGATGCCATCTACCTGGACTTGTGCAAAGCGTTCGACACTGTCCCACACGACATCCTTGTCTCTAAATTGGAGAGACATCAATTTGATGGATGGACCACTCGGTGGATAAAGAACTGGCTGGATGGCCACCCACAAAGAGTTGTCGTCAATGGCTCAGTGTCCAGCTGGAGACCAGTAACGAGTTGTGCCCCTCAGGGATCGGTGTTGGGACCGCTCTTGTTCAACATCTTCATCGCTGACATGGACAGTGGGATTGAGCGCGCCCTCAGCAAGTTTGCCGATGACACCAAGCTGTATGGTTCGGTTGATACGCTGGAGGGAAGGAATACCATCCAGAGGGACCTTGACACACTTGTGAGGTGGGCTGATGCCAACCTCATGAAGTTTAACCATGCCAAGTGCAAGGTCCTACACCTGGGTCGGAGCAATCCCAGGCACAGCTACAGGTTGGGCAGTGAAGAGATTCAGAGCAGCCCTGCAGAGAAGGACTTGGGGTGTTGGTTGATGAGAAAATGAACATGAGCCGGCTTCAGTGTGCGCTTGCAGCCCAGAAAGCCAGCTGTATCCTGGCCTGCATCAAAAGGAGCGTGACCAGCAGGTCGAAGGAGGTGATCCTGTCCCTCTGCTCTGCTCTTGTGAGACCTCACCTGGAGTATTGTGTGCAGTTCTGGTGTCCTCAACAGAAAAAGGACATGGAACTGTTGGAACAGGTCCAGAGAAGGGCCACGAGAATGATCAGGGGACTGGAGCACCTCCTGTATGAAGAGAGGCTGAGGAAGTTGGGGCTGTTCAGCCTGGAGAAGAGAAGGCTGCTTGGAGACCTCATAGCAGCCTTCCAGTATCTGAAGGGGGCCTATACGGATGCTAGGGAGGGACTCTTCATTAGGGACTGTAGTGATAGGACAAGGAGGAATGGGTTAAAACTTAAACAGGGGAAGTTTAGACTGGATATAAGGAGGAAATTCTTTCCTGTTAGGGTGATGAGGCACTGGAATGGGTTGCCCAGGGAGGCTGTGAATGCTTCATCCCTGGCAGTGCTCAAGACCAGGTTGGACGAGGCCTTGGGTGATATGGTTTAGCATGAGGTGTCCCTGTCCATGGCAGGGGGGTTGGAACTTGATGATCTTAAGGTCCTTTCCAACCCTAACTATTCTATGATTCTATATATGAAATCTCGGCTATTTGCCTATATTTGAACAATGCATTTACTGTGTAAGGCTACTTGTTTCCGCCATTACTGAACATTTCTTCTTCACCAAGAAAAGAAGGTAGTTCTCCATATTTAAAAAAATAGAAAGAAGGAAGAAAAAGCTTTTTCAAAATGACTGACATATCCCAATGCACCTGAACAATGCTCTGAAAAAAAAAAAGCTACAGGAGAAAAATAATGATGTTGAATGGTTCCTGGAAGACTAAGTTTAATGAGTGACTATAATTATCAGTGTACACTACTAAGTACTTGCTGTTTGGGTGCACGCACTTTCATAGCTTAACGTACTTGCATTTCTTTTAATGTCAACTTGAGTACTGTTTTTTCTAAGTTTATTTATTTGGAGGATAATCCCACTGAAGATGTAGTGCATTTTACCCATGTTGTTGCATATACTGAAAATACTGGGCATTCCCTCAGTCTTAACCCAATCTTCACCCCATTTTAACAGTTTAAACCAATGATAAGAGACAACTATAAGCCTTTCCTGCATTAATCAGGAAAAGTCTGACTAATATTATTATAGGAAAAAACACAACAAAAGAAATATTCTTTTTAACTTTAAGTGACTGATAACCAGCAGCCTTTATAATTTTTTATGTTCTGTAAACATTTACTCTGTAATGTATTAAAAAAAAAATCTTGCGTAAACAGAGTGCAACATTTTATTTTTTAACTATGAACAATGAGAGCTTATAAAATCCTCAGTGGAAGTCTTTGGCATTAGCAGGCAATAAGTCTACACTTTGCAACCCCCTGCAATAAGCATATAGACTTGTTCCCTTGAATTCTGAGTTACTTCTGATGTAAAATATGACCAAACTCTACAAAACCCCCTAAACCTTAGATGCCCAAATCCTACTCCTGTCTCCAAAGCATACTGAGCCATCAGAAGAAATGTTATGGGCATTGAAGGCAGTGCAGCACTCAGAAAAAAAAGGTTAGAACACATGAGCAAAAAAAAACCCGTAACATTTAAGATGTATGACATTTTAAAGACATGATCAGTGTCACTTTGCATGTGCTACAGAAGTCTAAAAGTTTGATATACAGTACACAGGGACATTTTCACAGTGCTTTAGAAGCCTTCTAGGTAAAACAAACAGATGTCATTTCCTCAAGCGTGGTATCACACTATGACATTTATGCTGCTTCCAGTCCTGCGCTAACTTGCTCTGAGCTGAGCTCGGGTACTGCAGAACAGCAAAGCATTATGACTTATAAATGTACATCATGAGTGGAAAACCCAGGAGGACAGAAAAAGTGGGATGAACTTCAGGTCATCACAATCTCTTTTAAAAGACTGCATAAAAAGCAAGTTTTATGCAAGTTACAATTCTTTATGGGAAGCTATGTTGGGAAAAAGGGTAAAAAAAGCTAGTTTTTGCACAACTGGAACAAATCAGGCAAACAGGATTGTATCAGTGCAGATAAAACTATATAAGGCTGAAGTAGAATAAGGAAATAAATCTCACATAGGTAACACATTATGTATAAATTGGCCATATTTTAAAACTTAAGCATTTTAACTAATTTGAGATATTATGCCTTTGGCATAATGATCTCCTCCACTCAAGTGCATCTAAAAGCCATGCACATCTCTGCCAGAGATCAGACTAAGTTAGTGGATATTTAAATACTATGTAAAATAGTTTTGCTTATTTTCTGAGACTGCTCAAAGCTTATGAATTATTTTCTCAAAAACTCCTCTTTCCTACCAACTAAGTGGTAGTATCTGAAGAGCCATTAAGAAAGTATTTCAGAGCCACTCACTATTCTCACTCTATCCCATGTATTAATGAGCTGATTTAGGTCCAAGCAGAACAGCTCAGTTACCAAGTGTGGACAAAGAAGGACAAAGATTAGTTTCAAGAAGAAGCACTTCTGAGAATGTGTAAGTTGGTATTACATGCAAAACCAGACCAAGCTGGGAAAAACCAAAACTAGTCAGAAGGGTTGATAAGATCACCAGCATTATCAAGAGGGAAGGAATTACAAGAGTACAGACATGTAGCTCTCAAATGACTTCAAAGTAACCAAATAAATTCCTTTGCTAAATTTGTGTTTCTGAAGTATAGGCTAGTTCCAAGAACCACGGAGGATGTTTCATGTCTCTAGGAAGGACTTAGGAGCACATATCGGACTTGGAAACAAAAAATAAACTACCCATCAGCAGTAGTTTCAACTTGAACAATTAATTAATGGCCAACCACTGCAAGTAGCCACAATCGCAATCAGTTTTGCAATGCTCCTTGTTGTAGACTGTGAGGAAAAAAGCTAGCCTTTCACAAATAAACACAAATAAACAGGTTTCTGCTTCGACAGAAAAGTTAGCATGGTGTATTTTGACCAGGACCAAGTAATAAATACCTGTGACAATTTTAATCTCTCTGACTATAATATAGCAACTTCTGGAGAAATACTATCTCACTAAAAAGTCAAATGTAATTCAGAAGGGGATACAAACCCTGAGAAACTGATTACATTGACATTCAAGTATTACCCATTTTTATACCTTTGGACATCGTCATATTAAGTACTGGCATAACAGACCATCATAGTAGTTTCGCTACATAGTCATATTTGAAAACAATTAAAATCATTACCTCCATATTCTTTTCTAGCAGGTGCAGGACTCCTACCGCCTTACAGTATTTAAGAAATGAATGCAGCAATAATGAAAAGTATCAGTACAGTAAGAGGGAAGAAAAAGAATGAGAAAGTTAAAATGACAAGGGTCAGTTATTAATTATGTTGCCCATATGCTTCTGAACATCCAGTTTCTCTTAGTGCTCAATTGTTTACATTTTCAGATGATCCAGATGAACTCTACATTAAGAACTTCGACATGATAAAATGCACACATACTGATGCCCAAATTAAAGGAATATAATCAATGAATGCACAAGACTATTTGTCTTTTAAAAATGAAGATGCTATAGAAATAAAAATGTTGAGTAAACACTGCTGTAGGAAGCCCGCACTTTTAAATTGTGAAAGTTTATAATTTTTTTTAAACTTATTCACTAAGCAAAGACAACAGTATTTAAATGGTACTGGAAAATGCTGTTTTTTCCCATAGAGCTATTACTATTAAATGTACCAACTCAACATTTTGGTGAAAAAATGGTATGTTCCATTGAGTCCCAAGCCAAAATGTAATATATAGTTTGGGTGTGGACTTCAAAGGTCACCTCACAAACTTGACACAAAATACTCCTGACCACCTGATGCACATTACTGCATTACCTGATGGTGGAGGTGGCCTCTGTGGTGGAGAGGGTCGCGCAGGAGGAGCAACTGGGCGAGGTGGAGGAGGACGCTTAGGCTCCAGGCTCTGAGAAGACTCTTTCTGCTGGGTGCCAACCTGAAATTCAGCTGAACAAGATGACAGAAAACAATGCAAACATTAATTACTTGTACATTCTAATCACAGTAAAGCTGTTCTAATAGCAAGTTATTTTTGCAGAGGACAGTCAGTCATCAGCCCTGGAAACAAAGTTTTTGAGAGAGGGAAAACAAAAGGAATAAGCCAATGGAGAAAAGCAGCAGATTCCCTAAGCCAAGATTATTGTCTCATATGCTTTAATCAGTACATGCTTTTCATAGAATCCTGAACATTCTTAGAAATTAAAGAGTTCCAAATTTTGAACTAAGTGCTCTAGAAAAAAATGTTACAAGGGGAATTCTGAAGGAATTTTAGCAGTTTTTGTGAAGGTACTCCAAATTACATTGAAATAAACTGCTCTAGAAGCCATTCCAAACACTGTAATTTTAAATATCACCTTTGTCACTGAAATAAAGTTGTGTTTAAATAGTAGCTTTCATATTACACAGGCTATTTACAAACCTACATATTACAATTTACATATTATGGCTGATAGGAGCATTAACTGAAATGGGCTGTATTTGAAGAGTATGACTGAAGCGAATTAAGATGATACTGACACACTACAACGGAATTTTTCAGCAGAGGTTTAAAACTAATCATATTAGAAAGCCTATTAACCACATAATTTTTTGAGCTGTCTCTTTCGTGATGAAATGCTAAAGAACTAGAGCAAGTTAGGTAGCTTGCAGCAGTGCAGATCCATGGACACAGGAAACAAAGCTCTTCTACTGCTCATTAGAACCAAGACAAAGAATGAGGTGATTTGCCTATTGCCACTTATGCAGAAAACGCTAGATAATGATAAGAATAGCCTTTTATATTAATCTAAAAGCTCTATTAAAAATAATCCATAAGATAGTATTCTACCACTGGGACAGAGGGCTGCCAGATTGTATAGTAGTAATAGAGGCAGTTGAGCAATGTAATACACACTGTGTGTGGAAACAGGTGGTCCAGGAGTTTTTGCCGGTGCTCTGCTCGGTCTCACTGGGAGGGCAGGTCCATCTGACAGCGTAGGGGATTGACAGGGACTGGAACGTGGCGAAGAGCTTGGGGAGGTTCCAAGACCAGAGCTTGAAGTAGGCTGCAGATGCTGAGGAAGGATTTCTTCTACTTCTGCACTGTAGTCATCAATGTCTCCTAAATAACACCCCAAAGAAGAAAAATCATGTAAAATAAAGGAAACAATAGGTTTTTGTTTTAGGAAGTGGAGAAATTATAAACTTATTCTAGGCATGGGATTTTCTACAAAAAACCTTCAAGTTCCAAGGAATTAGCTCAGCAACCAAAGCATGATTCTTGCATCGTAAAATTATATATGAAGAATGCATATATATTCAAACTGGTTGAAAATACTCCAAATGCACAATATGTATTATAGAAATATATTGTTGGTAATTATAATAGAGTGGCAACCATAACATTGCTTAACCAAACAATCAGCTTTACAAGGAAGGTCTCTGCAAAAATTATTTCCCTGCTTTGCAATAGATGGCAAGCTTCACTTATACTTCAGAAGGCTGGGCAGGGGATTTTAAGATATCTTCTATTTGTAATACCTTCTGTTTGAAAAGGTGGAATGATGTTTAAAAAAAAAGGTTCAACATGGACCTGCCTGTGAAAAATAAACTGTCAATTTAGAATATTTTCATGTTGATATTCAAAATGCCTAAAATAGACAATTATCCCATCGCAGTCCAACAGGACCATAGTAATCCTCTCTTCCAAGGTTCATGAACAACACTGTTCTACAGAAGTTCCATCTTCAACTTTGCACTGCTCAGCAGTAACAGAGTAATCAGGCTGCCAATTAGATAATAGCTCTTGATCCAAGAGTCTTGTGGGATTCGAGATGTCACATTTGAAGGGAATCATGATATTTCACAGAGGACTATTAATAAAATCAACCAACCATAGAAGCGTCTAAACTGTGAAAGTCCTGTTTTCTACCTGCATTGGAAAACAGATGAAGCACCTTATGACATTGAGACTATCACCAATTCCAACTTTTCATGCAGGTTTCCCATACATGTACCCTTACCAAAACATATATCCCTTTCTGAAACACCTTTGTAAAAAACCCTTTTAGTCTACTCTTTTCGGTATACATAACCGCCATCTGTTTTCTTGAAACTTTTGCAACATGATGTTTACCCTTAAGGAGCTTGGATAGAAATTCAAAGCAAATGAACTACTGAGAATAAATCAATATAGACACAGTGACTACATCTAGAAACTACATCTGTTCAAGTAGTTACAAAAAACAACCTTGTAAAATACATATGGAAACGCAATACACACAGGAAGTGTCAGCAGGTAAGGGGTGTGCGTGTGTGGCTTTGCTGCTGTTCAAAAAACAGCTGCTTTATTTGCGAACGATATAAGAAGAATATTTTTCAATGTAGAGAAGAGAGTGAATCAGATCTTTCCTAAAAATTAATTAACAGATTAAAAAATAAGATGTGACAAAGTCCATAGATAAGAAACATGCAAGTAAAGAAAGGCAAAAATGCAGAGGCACTATTGCTGCAATAGTGATATTCAGCAACTTGAGGATTATGCTAAAGAAGTATGACATGAAAAGATATAAAAACCCTCCGGTGAAAAAACAAAACTGACAAAAACCAGTGAAATGAAACTCATCAATGCCAAAGATCAGCCCATTTCAAGAGCAACAGAGATTGAAGGTTTCCTTGCCCCACTCGTATCTGCCTGCCTGTCAAAGGCTTACCTGTTGTCTTCTTGGGGGTGGTAAATATTCAGTGTCCTATTAATGTATTATGCACATTGGCAAAAAAAATAATTGCTTTGCACTCTGAAGTTTTGTATATCCTGCTTATAGGGTGTCTTCATCAACAGTAAAAGTTGCCTGAAAGAAGTGACCCTGAGAGGGTAGGTCACAGGATAAACTGAGAAGAATGAAGACTGTCAGCAAATTAGTAAAACCTTGAGATACAAGTGCAAACTAACACTCCTCAACAAGTTGTCAAGATATTACTGGAAATAACAGGATTTCTAATTTATCTATTTAAGACTGGTATAAACTTGTTAAAGTATTTATATATGCATTAAATTAACCACATTATTTAGGACTGTAAACATTTCAAAATGATAAGTGCTTTATTTCAACACACCTTCCATATCATAGTCAGCAGTAACCTCAGCATCTTCACAAAGCAAAGTGGAGCTTGTTGATGAAGGTAGCGCAATATTAATCTTCTCTAGATTCATTTCATCTTCCAAAGTTCTGATCCAATCTGGATTTTTCAAACTTATGTTTATAATCCTTCCTAGTAGCTGAATTGACAAAAAAGGTATGCACAAACCAGAAACTGTTAAAATTCAGCATTCTAGATTTAAAAACAAACAAAAAATACTGAAAATGTCACAAGTAAGGTTATCAGAATTTCTGGCACTAAAAAGTAATACTGACACATCACAGAAGTAATTATGCTTTTCACTTCATTTTGGTAATTAAGTACATTTATGCAGTTTAAACTGTTAATTATAGCTATTTAATATTTCCCTAAAGAAAAACTAACAACTTGTCTCATAAGATTTTCCTTTTTAGTTAACAGGAAAACTTCAGGTTTCTTTATTCCAACAGAAACACTACTCTTCGAAAAGAAAAACAAGACTTGCTTATACACTACATTAATAAAGCTACGTGACTACTAAAAGTAAACCAACCAAACAAAAAAACCCCGCAAAATAAAACTGGATGCAACAGCCTAGTATGGAACATGAAAAACTTTATTCTTAAAAAAAATGGACAAATTAAAAACCCTGGCTCCAATCAAGTAGTCTTAAGAAATTTGGATTTTCTCTTCCTATAGGAAAGTTCAGTAATTTTTGCATTACCTCAGTACCATTCAAATTCATAACATTCAAAGCAGAGCTTCCTTCCAAAAATGTTACCCACATCTTGTCTTCTACAAACCTGCAAAGCCCATTGGAAACAATAATTAAAATATGTTATCCTATCAACTGACTTTTTAAGCCTCTTACAGGTTTTTCAGTGGTTCATTTCACAGAGAAGAATTATTTATTAAGTTCGTTAAAATATAATTGGTTAATAAGCTTTAACTGAATGCATCCTTACAACAACAAGCAAAAGAGAGAACCAGGTAAATAACACAGAGTGAAAGCACTGTCCTCTTAAAAATTATATGACTGCAGTTACACATTCAACAGTAATTGTGTGGCTTACAGGTTAGATATTTGTAATAGTTGTCCCACATGTCATCACAATACGGACTTGGAACTATGCTCCTAGTCTTCTGAAAAAAAAACCCCACCCAATCAACAAAAAAAACCCAACCCACAAAACCCAATTCTAACCAAAACAACCCCCAAGCCCCAACAAAATACCACAACACTTACAGTTCAATTAACAGTTTAGTCTTTTAAAATTACTAACTTAATTTTACAATACAAAGTCAGTAGCATACTCTATCTCAAAAATAAAGAGCAACAGGAAAAATTAAGTCTGAAAACTAAGACACATACAGGTATGTACAACTTACTTTTATCTGTAAAGACATGAAAGTTGAAATCTAAATGTTAAAAATTAAGCAGAGCAGATTGTAACTGAAATGCCCACTATGAAAGTAACTTTATTCAAGAAATAGGTGGGAACAATGAAGAGGAATGAAGATGAAATGTAAAAAGTCTTTCTAACCTTATAAGTATAACTTCACCATAGCCTGCAAATTTTTGAAGAAGTTCATCAATTAAGTTGTCATCAAAATAGTTTTCTTCTGCTGAAGAACTTTTGATGGAGACCATTACAGTACCATCAGGTGGTCCCTGCATTGCAATCACCTCCTTATAAACCTTTTGTCTCTCTTCTGCTTCAATTTCAAATATGTCAATGTCAATCAATGCAACCACAGGCCTTTGAAATATACAAGAAAGAGCTGTAAGCAGAGTATCTGAACAACAAAGTACACAATATGAGTATCAAATTTTCAATTATTAGGAAGTAATGTATAAAATAAAACTGAAACCTATGATCAGATGTTTTCAGCTCTGCTCTTCCGTAGTGCAACAAAGTACCAGGATTCCATGTATAAGGGACGTTACTGTCACTGTGAAAACTAGCATTCAGAAGATCCAGGTCTTCAGCTACAGCCAGTATTAATGAAAACAAAAGGGGAAAACCACCATGATTGCAAGAACATGCTTTAAAAAATAAATTATTTGTAAATAGAGAAAAAAGAAAGTAAACCAAAACCAAGTGTTCTACAGATAAAACCAATACTTTTGAAGTACTGAAATATCAGTAACTGGCACCTGATTCTTGATCCTCTTGTTCAGCATCACTGTGTTTACTGTAGATGCTATTATCAGCTTTGTTTCATACAAAGTCAGGGACAGAAGTTCAGAATCACTAGCACTGTGAATGTCACTAATCGGATTCTATAAGCCAGTGAAAAGAATACTTTAAACAACTTAAGGAAGCACTCAAACCTGATCGGTCAAAAGGCCATTTTCTTCTTCTCCAGAGAATACGATCTGTCCATGCTGGTGTGCGACATTTTTCACTGGTGTCATAGTCATCAGAAAACAGATCATATTTGTATGTGGGAGCAAAATTTATTTTGCCTTCCAAAAATCCCCTAAAAATCTGTAAGAAACAAGGCAGTTACGCGTCATGCCAGAAGACAGAAACAGATGGGAAACTGCTTGAAACTAATGAGAATTCTCTTTTCTAACAGTGAAAATCTGTAAACATATTAAAAAAAATAGTAATTTGATAATATGAATCCTTCTCCAAATTTTATCTGCTGAAAACACCCTACATTTGCCACTAAGACTAAATAGTGACCCTGACCCAGATAGATCATCATCAAACAGAAGTATGCCAACATTTATATCTTTAAACCCAGGCTCATGAGCAACCTACAGTTCCTCTAACGTCATTCAGAACTTGTGGTCACCCAGAACACAGATGCTGTCCACAGCACTTTAATTAGCTGGTTAGCTGCTCATGTGTCAGCAAAAGTTGGGAATTAAGGTTTATATTCCATGTATCTACCTAAACATGCTAAACATTCCCCCAAATTGACATAAGACAGCTATAAATAGGAGGTCGGGGTGGGAGACAGAAAGAGTCCTTAATATATTTGATATGAACTGAAATATTAGAGAGAGAGAGGGGGTATCACCATTTTTTCTCAAGCGAATAAGAAAACAGAATAAAAGGAGGTATTATCTGCCAAGAGGACGTATGGTATTTAGAGATACAGTGTCAACTGAAATGAATCAAAAAATCCATTACGTACTTTGCAACATAAACAGACATAGTCAGCTGACACAAGACCCTAGAAGGCCAGGAGATTTGTTCCCTCCTTAAGTGTCTAAACTAGAACTAATCTAATACCCTTTAGTTATCTTAACCAGCTCCAGTCTTAAGTTTAAACTTTTATGGTGAGTTTTATTTAACATCAGAGATCTGAAAAATAGAAAACGAACTTAGGTCTGCATCAGATGACAGGTTAGCCTGCTTTTCTTATTGGAAATATAGATTGAAATCCAGCCAATTTAAAAATCTGTGTCGGAAGATCAATGTCAGAAGATCCACAACTTCTTAGACAATTTCTCTGCCTCCGATAATTGTTTCTTAACCTACTTAAAATAGCTATATAAATGCCTTTCCTGAACAGCAGATACACCAGATAACAACCACATGCAATCACAGAGCTACCCTGGCTAGCCAACTGATACCTGCTGCTGCCCAGTCAGTCACTTTCAAGTAATGGAGTATTACCCAACAGTGCAATACTACCCCCTTTTTTCTCCCCAGTCAGGAGATTATTTTGAGTCTTTTTCATATTCAGGTAGTTTCTATGGATCTTTCCAGCTTTATAACTGCTCTAAGTGTCCCCAAATCCTCTATACATCTCTCGTTTTGGTCACATTACCACACGATCACGCTGTCTGCCCACTTGAATGTACATCTCATTTTATGTAGGAATTGGGCTTTCAAAAAAATAAACTGAAACTTTTCAACTGTTTTCCCTCCTGTTCTGGTGCACAAGACACCAGCACAAATGGAAGAGAACTCTAACTCAGAAAAAACACTACTTATGATCAAAGTGTTGGCAAGTAGACAAAACTAACAACAGAGGCAACGGGATTATCTGTCATTTTACCATCTACAGCATTCCCACATAAAGCTGGAAAGAAATAACATACAGTTGCACACAAAATTTAATTAATTACAAATATTCTGTTAGTTGCTACATGCTGGAGGGAAAACACTTGATAAGTTTCAATTTAGTTTCTTTAAAGCCCAGTTCCTACATAAATTGAGATGTACATTCAAGTGGGCAGACAGCATGACTGTTTGGTAATGTGACCAAAACAAGAGATGTATAGAGGATTTGGGGACACTTAGAGCAGTTATAAAGCTGGAAAGATCTATGGAAGCTACCTGAAAGAAACCCTAAAAATTAAAAATCTGAAGGTTTCTTCAGACTTTACTACTCTGTTTTTTGTAGTAACAAAGTAAGTAGAAAGGTCTACAATTTGGACTATGACTTTGTCCAAGAAAATGACACAGTAGCAGCATTAGACCTATTATTGCAGCAATTTAAAGCAACTGGTAACATTACCAAAATAACTTCTATAGATACATATTTTAACAGTTGCACCTGCTTAAAATATATATATATGTAAGTAGTAAATTCCAACATAAAGTTCTAATAGATGATAGTGTTTCCTTTTTTGGTGTCACTGGCTCTTCAGGTCAGTTACTATGAATAAGTTATTAAATGCTGCTGTTGCACCCTTCCATACCACTACCTGGAAAAAAGTGATAAGCAAAACATACTGAGGATATAGGTTTACAGAAGCACCACAGAAAACTGCTAAAGCCAAAACTAAAAATAAAGCATTTTTAAGTAATATGTTTAAGATACCTGTCCAGAATTTTTCTGATTCATAAGCTGGTCTCCTGCAATAAGGGAGTCCCAGTTCTGTTGTCGTATTAGGTCCTTAACCTCCTCATTTGGAATATCAATTCGATAATTAAAGTCACCACACCAAAAGATATAATCATGGGAAAAGAGCATCCTTCCCTGTCAAACAGAGGCACACAATGAAGTTAAAAACATCCAAGAGATTCAGAAATTCAATTTCTGACTTTAAAACATAATGCATCATTTCAAGCTGATGAGGACAACTGAAATACACAATAGTATTTACTGTTCATATGGTAGAACAACATAGCCAAGTGTACGGTATTCACACACACAGAATATGAAAGAAGCAGCAACATCTCTTATGTAGTTTCTAAAGAAACATGAATCATGTGAATTGGATTCCAAAACTCTTCATCTTTCTACTCCTGTTTTAGAAGTCTGCTTTGAGATGGCAACTGATATATATGTCACAAATAGGTTACAAAGGAGAACAAAATACTACCCTGGGATATTGTGGCATAATATCCCGACAAATGGCAAAACAGTATCGACTGTTTGGAACCTTGAGATTATTTGAAGACTTTTCAATTACATATAATTTTACGGCTAGGGAGAGACAGAAGGGCTCTGTTAGGTCAGACAAAGCTGAAGGCTTAAAGTGAGAAATTTTACTTCTTTGTTTGATTTCTGCATTGCTCTTAAGTAAATCAAAGCAGATAAACTGGCAGATTAAAACGGCAGCATTTAGGAAACTGTTTCTGGGGACCATAATAATACAGTACTTTCAAGAAAAACTGAAACATGACCATGGGGACAAATACAGAAATTTAAAAAAAAAACTATAAAATAAGATCTGAGAATCCTGCATAGTGCCATAAAAAGTAACAAAGGACAGTCTAACTACAACATTTAAGACAGCTTTAAGTCTCAAGAAAGAATATTGTTGCACTGATGAAAGTATCAATTTACTTTTACTTGGTGTTTGATAATCCTTTATGAGAATATGGTGCAGAACTGCACAATCCAACTTGACAAAAATGAGTGAAAAAGAAGTTAAAATGAGTATACTGAAATGTGTACTGAAAATAGTGCTGTTTTCCATGTATTTTCTTCTCATAGTTGATTAACTCCAGTGCCTACAAAAGCTACATTGCATGTCAGGAATCTATCAGGTCTTTCTCCTATGCTAAATCCTTGATGCCTAATGCTAGCCACTGAATTCATGCACCACCATCTCTATCAGTCATTACACTGGAAAGGTATATTTTTTCTGCAGTCATCTATTTCAATGAAACTTGTGGGAACGTAATTATCTCTGAGGCCTCTAACCCAAGGAAATTTGATTTCCACAGGAATCTGAGGAGGTGCAAAAAATAAATAGAGCTTTTGGATGAAACTGCTGGAGCTCAAAGGGTTTAACTTATTATTCATTATGGAATTTGAACACTGTTGCTTACCATTGGAAAACTGAGCTTGCGAGCTATTTCTATGAAGTCTTCATTTCTCTCCTTAACTTGTGATTGCCCTGCAGCAAAATGACTGCAGACAAAGCAAAGACTGGATGTATGGAACAACATCCGAATTGCTACTGCACCTTTATTACCAGTGGCTCCTCCCATGCCAGTCTTTACAGTGTCAACAGCAACATCCCTGAAAGAGTTAAACAACTATTAAACCTTCACATGCAATGGCACAGAAGTTAACAGCTTTAAGTATGTCTGAGTAAGTCATTATGCTGGTAAGAGAACATTTTCACATTGTTCTTTCAGCAGTAAGGCCACTGGGCTTTTTTAACACCATGCCAACAGCTATTGAGGAGGTAACAATTTAACTCTTCAGCTTTTCAAGCTCTCTTGGCAACTGACGAGGCATTTAAAAACTAAAAGAATAAAATAATTTAAGCATGATAAAAGAATTTAAGCTACTAGCTCCCCAGAAGATGGAACAACTCATACACTTCTTAGTACACTTGTACGTTAGCTTGCAATCCAGAGCAAACTGAAGGTGACCCAACTTGGGCACAGCTGTGTGTTCACTGACCTGATAAAAGGCGCATGCTGGGGCCTGATGAACACAAAAAGGCAGACGCCCACCAACTGCTCAGAAGCCAGCAGCACATACTTGTAATCTCTTGATATAGTCTTCTGCAGCTCAGCGGCCCAGAGCTTCTGATTGGTTGTGCTAGAAGTGAGATGAAAAATGCCAATTTTAAAATAAAACAAGTGAGCAGGTATCTAAACTGTTGAGCTAATTGGATAACCTTCAAACAACAACCTAAACTAAACCCTGAGGTAGCAAGGCAAAGCCAAGTTGTGAATGGTGCTCAAATGCCTCCTAGCAGAGACACAAGCTGTCATGACATCATCATTTCAAATTCAGCCTCATAAAATGCTGCCTCACTTTTCTCAACACCACAGACAATGTTAGGAGCCAGGGCTATCTTTCCTCTATTTCTGAGGCTAGACTAGAGGAGCAAAACCAAAGAATTTTTATAGGGAGCTACTTTCTGGCCTAGAGCTAAGTTAATATTGGAAAACAAGATGTCCACGTCTTTGATCAAGAAGAAACTTCCTTAGAGACCTAACTGACTATGGTTTTCAAAGCTAGTATTGGAAATAAATGAAAAATATCAGACCTGGAGACAGCGTTAACTAGACACAGTGTGAAATTAGGGGATGACAAAACTTCCACTCCTCAAGACAAAAGACTGTGCAAAGGTTGACAGTATTACAGGCTTTAGATGCTTCTTCCAACGTGTTATAGCTAAACACTAGAAAGCATGAAAAATGGGCAGACAAAACAACAGACAAAGGGAATAGGACTACACATCAAGACTTCACCACTGGTAAAAATATTTTTTCATAACGCCCTCTACTAGATTTGCAAAATCCAAACTCATTGATATACATGTAATTCATGGAATGACAACAAAACCTGACAGTGTAGAAGGAAGCCTTGCTTTATACAGATCAAAATTTGATGCAATACACTATATAAAGGCATAACAACAATACATGCTCTTGGAAGGAATTTCACAGGACTTGCTGTTCCAAGCAATAGGAAGGCACAGTCAACACAGAATGCTACAAGTATCAGAGGTAAATTCCTTCAAAGTATTAAATGAAGGAAAAAGTTAAGGGGCTGCTGAAGGTCAATTCAATCCAAAATATGGCCAAGTAGTGAATATTTGGATCCTTGAGATTACATTAGACATGATCTAAGTGATCACAGCTTTGCTAGGGAAGCTGAGATGAAGTCTGCAATCCTGGCACAGAAACTGGCAGAGAGAACTGGAACACAGTCAAAAATTAACCCAGACTAACCCTAACCATTACAAAACAGAACAACAAAATAAATAACATTTTACTCAAAAAATGTGATTATCAACTAAACAGCACTGTACAGATTGTATACCGACCTGGCATTCACAATGTTTCCTGCATTTAACTCCACCATTTCTTCAAATCCAATGGCAAATATGTCTACAGGCTTGCTTTTGCGATCTGCATTTAAATATTAAAAAATCTAATTGTAATTTATAATTAAGAACCAAGACATATACATATCTGTTTTAATGTTTATGATCTAATTATGAAAATCAGAATTTTTCAAGAAAAAATTGTCAGAACACAAATTTTACCTTGGAATTCATGAATTCCAGCTAACTTTGGTGCATCTAGAAGCCAGTCAGTGAGGGTCTGATTTCTAAAGGCAATACTTCGAAACTGCTTCCCCCCGTTGACATTCCATGTCCCGACACAGACTCTAATTTTTTTCGGTTTTGCATACTTATAAAAGTTTTCACACATACTCTTTAGCACTTTTACAGATGCTGCAAAAACATTTGAAAAGACATTATTTTTATATAGAATGTTTCTCCAGGAAACTTGGCAATGAGATCTTTCCCTTTAAAAAATGGCAACAAATCCATGCACAGACATATAGAAAGTTAAATCGTGAAAGCAAGATGAATGCAACTTTTCACAAGAGGAAGTACATTTGCAGACCTACTACTTGTCTGGGTAGGCTACTGACTGAAAGTTTGTTCAAAGTAACATATATATATAAAAATGATACATAAATGAAACATAATTTCTATGTTTTATAAATATCTGTCATTCTTTCACCCTAAGTATGATTCTCTATGGAAACCACTATTTTTTGTACATGCCAACACAGGTATCTACCTCATTTCACAGAGTACATTCATGAAATTCAATCTCCATTGCAAAAACAACTGACAGATATGCTCACTTCTAGAAGTGTAAAAACGACTGATATACTACATTTACTTAAATAGGTAAGGTACGTTATTTTTTCATACAAGCCACAAATCTGAATTCTTTTTAGGTTAGTTGAATTCCTAGAATTCTGCTTTAGTGAGGAAAGTAGGCTAGTATTCAAAACAATTAAACTCATTTCCCTGTTACACCAGCCTTTCTCTGTGCCTTGTTTCTATCTGCCAGATGGGAGAGAGTGTAATGACCCATCTGTAAAGGGCATTGTGAGAAACAAATAAACAAGATTATTCCATGGTCAGACACTAGAGTTACAGAGATTTTAAAAGTCCCTTCATGAATTAGCTGAATAATACAGTCATACAGTAATATTTTCTAATGCAAACAAACAGATCTGAATATTTTTTTTTTAATTATGCTCATTTTTTTCTTTAATCTCAGTGGAATAGAAATTGCATCAGGTGTAAACAGTGTTGTTTGCATTGTACTTTATCTAAGTGATATTAATTTACCTATTTTGAATAATCTCACAGTTATGAGACCCTGTGAGAATCATATAAACAATAGTAGATGGAATTCTTCCATTCACTGTGTGCTGTCTTGCAAAGTGATCAGCTACTGGGCACAGTATTTTCACCCAAATCACCACCACAGGATGATTAGCGAGCTGTTGTTGTCTTTTTGGTTATTCTTCTAAGCTTATCACTTTTAAATTTGCTACAGAATCTTGGCTACCCAATTAAAATAAAAATCAGGGATTCTCCAGCTCTCATGGTTTTGAAACAAACGGAAAATGAGAAAATTATATATTTGTTGTTTGTGAACTCTTTCATTGCTGAACAAGGTTCCATGAGGGACCCATGCCTTCCTCACTTAGCATGTTTCAGAGCTCAGGCTGGTCTAGTGGAAGGTGTCTCCCTTCCAGGGCGGATGGAACTAGATGATCTTAAGGTCCCTTCCAACCCAAACCATTCTATGAATCTATGAACAAACCATACATCCATATATGAGCTAATCACGTATAAAAGCCAATGAACTGACTGGTGTCTCCTTGGCGTACTAGAAGCAAATCATACTTGGGATCATGCTTTCCTTATTGTAACCCAGGTAAAACCCAGGTAAGTCAACAAATCAGCAAGGATCTCACAATACTTAAACGCTTCAGGGGAAAGCCAAATACTGAGTCTACTCCTGTCACACAGTAGGTGACACTCCGGAAGTCCACCAAATGCCAGAAAAACCTCTGAGGATCAAGGACAGAAGCTGACCACTGAAGAGAAACCAGTTCAAGAAATGTACCCACAATATGCACAAGTACCTAAATCATCCAAAGGATTACCTGAACCTGAGGAACCAAAACAGCATCACAGACACTGTGAGGATCTGCACAGATTAGCCTTCATAGTACTCTGACCAAGTTGAAAAGCAGAGTTTGGTCTTTTATTCTCTCCAAATTCTTTTTCTTTTGCAAATTTAGCAATTTTCAGCTTAACTTTAAACAGTTACTCCAAATAATTCCTATCTGCTACCAAACAGCTTTTAAGAAAAGCTGCAAAATAGAATAATTGTCTACCCGTGACATTATCATGAACTCCTAATGTGAAGTCTTTCCAAGATAGGATCTGACTTTAGAAGCAAACTGACAATATGCTTATTACAAGCATGAAATTCATACCTTTAAACTAGCAAGCTTTCTAAATTGTAGAATGACTCTTTTTCCAAATCAGAATTAAAAAAAACCAAAATTTTCATGTTTTCCAAAATACTGAGTGAGCCCACTGTTCTTCAGAGCTCCTGAGCCTCCCACATACATTATTTTCCCACACATTCCTAGCTATTTATATTTTCAACAAAATTGTATCTCACTCTACAATGTTTAAAATCCAATCAATTACATTTTCTGTTATTTTGCAGAAAAAATTCTACTGCTCATATTAGAAAGGCAGACATTTGGAAATCAGTTCTGCAAAGGGAATATTGATTTTAAATTCTTGGTGGGATATTCTATGCAATTTTACTACATCATCCAAATTACTGTAGGTATATTTCAAGATATGCAATTTGTATCCAGATGAAACTCACAGTGAAATGTTAGATCAGGAACTGAAAAAAACATTGACATGTATGACCCTTTGTGAGTTATAAGCTAGGCTGATATAGTCTAGATGGCAACACCATAAATGACAATGTGACTGTTTATTCCAACAAACAGTTTTTAAAACTGACAAAATGCCAGCGAATCAGTTAATTTCAGGTACGTATTACCTGTGGATCAGATTTCATTATTTAAGTACCCAGTAAGAGTTAAGTAGATACAGTAAAACACTAACAGAAAAAGCAAAGCTGCAAAGGGAAAAAAAAAAACATTTAAAGCTCAAAACTACAGATTATGTTTGAAGTGCTTTTCTAAGGGGAGGTATGTGAGGGGGAGAAGCTTTAAACACTTGAGATGTACTTGAACAATCTAGCCAATGACAAATCCTCATGGTTTCTTCCAAGGATCCTCTTCAGTACCCAGGGCCAGCAGCTACTACCCAAGCACACAGGTTCAGTGGATACTGAGCAAAACTTTGCTATTCTCTTAAAATGGAAGACTTGTCTGAACAATTATCAAGAGCTTCCTTGTTTATTTTCCTCCTTCTCTCCCTTTATCTTCCCATGTATTAAGAACATACTTTTCTTCCCTGCCACCCATAAACTAAGCATCTGATCTGGTTTCAATGAACCTACTTCCAAGAGGCAGCACAATGAACCCTATTAAGGTAATAGCTCAGACATGGATGTTTAAATTTTCTCAACATAAAGTAAACTCTGAACATATGAGCATTAGGAATATAATATTTTAAATAATAATTTCTCAGAACAAAGAGACAATGACGTGTTGCACAGCTGACACGTACTTGCAGCTCTCCCTTAAAAATATGGAATATGCATATATCATATCTCCCCAAAATTACGTTTGAATGCATTATGTTGCTTATGTTGCTACCTTACAACGACAATAACTATGAGCTTTCAGCAGCTTCTTAAACTGAAGAGATATTTCACATAATTTTCCTCTATCTGGCTCATCCCTACATTCTCAAAGTAGAAAATCAGAAGTTAACTATAAAGTTGCCACTTCAGGCCTTCTCTTCACCAAGAGTTTTACCTAAATAGATGCTCTTATACTCTCATTTAGTGTTACGTGCAGAGATAACTGTTATCTCAATGGTTTTGACGGCACTTTTGCTCCACAAAACACAAGTGTCAGCATATTATTTCAGATCATTCCAGTACAATGCTATCCTTGGCTGGGAGACACTACAAAACCAGTCTGTCTCATGCAAGAACACAAGCTGGTAGAGCCTTTTAATGGCAAATAAGATGTTAGAAATTGCACTGAAGAATTTTCAGCTCTTACCCTAAACAAAACATGTAGACAAAACAAGAATACAGGAGCTCCCAAATCAGATAAAAAGGCAAATTCCTCTACAGCTAGAATAAACCATTTTTAAAAATAAACCTCAAAGAATTGGCTGCCTCTTTTTCTAATATTTTTCAACCCTCATATTCATACATTTTCACTTTCTTTGTATGAAAAAGCTTTTCTAAGAGTAAGGGATTTGAGGGCACAGAGTGCCAGATCCAAACACTACTAGGAAAATTGAGCCCACAACCAAATGTTACGTAAATAGGCACAAGAAGAACAATAGCTGCTCAGATATTTACAGCTTAGTTTACTATACCTGATTGTAATGATTGCTCTGAAACTACGGATGCAGTAAGAAGGAAACAAGAAAAACATTAGTCAAATAAGTAATTGTTTTTTAAATTTTTCCAGTAACGTGACAGAACATGCTGTAATATACAATTTATTACACATAACCATTTGCATCAGTTAAAGCACATCTTTTATGCTGCAAAATCTAAAAAGCTGTACAACAGTATCAACAAATTGTCTTTTCTTGCTTTATTAATAATGCATTTACATATGATAAAGTAGTTCTCTAGTTAATTCACCACCCAGCAGACAATGCAAAGACATTATGTTCAGTGAAGAGGGATTAATGTTCCTCAGCTGACAGAAGCTGCAAACAATGAAAAGATAACTTGCATTCACAGAGAAAGTGAGAAGAAATGCAAATGACTTTCAACTAACTTTGAGGTAAGGCTAATTTAGCACATTCAGATACAGGAAAAATTACAATAACACAAAACCTTGTGGTAAAGGAATGAGAGGAAAGGAATCTTGAAAATATAAAAATACCCACAATCTGAAGAGTTAAATTGGGCAAGAATATTTTTCTTGTGCCACAGATTTACACTGAAGCTGTGACACATTTTTCTCATTCTAAATTGAGAAATGTCCAGAATAAAGTGAAGAAAAAAAAAAGGAAAAAATAAGAACGTTATTAATCCCTAAAATTGGCAATAACCAACCATTTAGGACACTCTTACCTGGGATCTTAAAAAGACAGCTCAAATTTAAGTTCCTTCTTTTCCAAAGAACTAGCTCCTCTATTTTTTACTATCCCAAAAGAGTTATTTTAAACACAGCCCTACACCTGGCCCTCTATTTCCCTGCCCATTAGATCTGCAGAAGGATGGGACATGAATGTAGTCCTGAGGACTGTGCAGACTACACCTCTGAGGATGCAGGATGCTGTGGTTCAGCTCCCTGTTCTGATGAGGTGACCCATCTTCCTGACACCAGAGTCCCAAGTGCCACATGGCTACTCTGATTGAGCAGACTTTCTTATTGAAATCGTTCTGATTTTGATGTGGAAATTCACACACAGACTGACAAGCTTTTATGGTGCACCTGTTCTCACACAAAAGCCTCATTTTGTGATGGAAAATCATTCATCGGGATTCTTCTGATAGCTCCTGTTATCTTAAGTTTTCTTTCATTCCCAAAACCCCCTTTTGTTCCTCAGTATCTTAGAAACTACAATGAAGATAAGCTTGGAAAAAAAAAAAATGCTTTCTACCTAGTTTAATACCATGGTGAGAATTTCTTCACTGACATGACAGATCAAAATAAGGAAGACATTTAGCAAACAATAAATCCCCCCTAATATTTTAATAAATCAGGATTTTCTTTCCCAAATTCAGCACGTAACTGTAACGATTAACACTTGCTATATATGGATTCGAAGAACTGAACAGAACATATTTATGGTGCATCTACAGTAAAGTTCTGACAAATACACTCCACAAACATTTAGCCATAACACCACCAGACATCAACAAAATATAAACAGTAATTACTGCAACATATTAGTTTGGTAATATTAGTAAAGCAGAAGTAACTTTCATCTTTTTAATAAGCCATCAGAACATAAAATAGCATTTACACTTCTCAATATTGCTTTGAAAACAGACTCCATATAGCTTTCTTACACCAAATAGTTATCAGACAGATTAAAATCCTGAAAGACACATACCGCGTAAACTGCTGGTGGTTAAGAGAGCCCGTGCTTTATCTGCTAAATCACTATTTAGGGTATTTCCCAATAACAAAACATCAATGGCCTCCTGCTTGGAGCTATCAAAAAAGTTATTTTGAATCGTTCTGGTCACAGAACGAGCACCATCCTTCAGCTTTCCAGCCTGTTAGGGAGGAACACGTATAAGATATTTTATATTGGACACTGCTCACAATAACATTGGCAATATTCAGTAACATATTTGTAAACTGCATTAATGATTTTAAAATCTAAGGCAAGTTCCTTCTTTAAGTGTTAAAGTCTTCTGAGCCTATTGTACCATGTTGTGCTTTTTCTTTCCCCACCTACGTGCTAAACCACACAGTCATACCTTCAAGGCATATCTAACAACCAGATTATTCCAGTTTGAATTATATGAAGTAAACAAAACACTGAAGGGAGGGGAATAACATTTCCCCCCCTAAACCCTTGGTCTTAAAAAATGAAATTGATATAGTGCCATGTTTAGACCATGATACGAGATTTTGGGCTTTTCCCCAAATAGTGACAGATGAGCAAGCACTTGAGTCTAAATGTCATGATACATGAATATATATGTATGTATGTATATACGTATGAACACATTAGTTCAGAACTCACATTCTGAAATATCCATGTTAAAAAAAAAAAAAGAGCTGCCTTCAACTTATTAAGACCCCTGCACTTGTTAAAAATCATGCAAGTCTCATGCAGTATCCCAGAAGGAACATATACACTAATCTACAGCTACATATATATGAAGACACTGTTGTTGCACAGACCGCACACAAGTGCCATGAACAGTGAGTGCTCCAAAGGAAGTGCCCAACTACCTAAGCTAAACAAGAATCTCCAACAGATGTACTACTACTACAGATATTCCCTGTGGGTCAGACACCTGGAGGATAATGTAATCAACATGTCAAGCAGTCTCATACTTGATTCAAAAACCAGCAGTACTAACCTGTGTACACAGCACTGAGAGTGACAGGCACAAAGACATATTCTTGATTACACGTTTTTTTGTGTTTTATGTATGTAAGTGTATTTTGCCTGTGAGGTGTATTTAAACACATGCTATTGCACGTATATGAAACATAAACCATAATCCATCAGGGATGCTGCATGGTATTAAAAAAAACCCCTTCAAGTTTGCAGCTTGCACTGTTCATGAAAGTCTCTTAAATGCATTAAAAAAAAAAGACAAAAGCTTAAGAAAACTACAAAACGAACCCATCGTTTAGTTCTACTAATAGCACTAGACAACAAGAAAGAAACTACTCTTTTGTCAGGGGTAAGTAGTAGTGAATTTACACCGTGATTTTTGGAAGACAATGTGGATGAGGTGTTAGGGAGCATACTGTTGCAATAGAATTTTAATAGGATGCTGTTCCCTTTCTGTCAGACAACGTATAACTTATGGCACAATCAAAAAAACCACACTCACCATTCACATATCAGGCAATTAATTGAAACGAACCCAGAGAAAGCAAAAAAAAAAAAGAGTAGGTAAGGAGTTAGATGTTACAAGTATTATAATACTTTAAAAAGGACCGTTTTTCAGTATAGAAATGCATATCAACACATTTAAGGTTAATTTTTTTTTTCTCCTATCCTAAATTTCTGGGTTTATTTACTTCTAAGTACTCTTGGACTTCAAAGAATCAGACTGAAGAGCAAGAAAAGAACTTCAACCATCAAACTTTTCATTTGAGAAATGAGAATACAACTAACAACTTAGAGAAACTACCTTTTGTTATATATTATCAGAGTACTCAAGAAGATACTCAGTAGTGACCTGGTCAGGTTTTACTGAAATAATGGCAAGTATTGTATGGTTTTGAAAGTATTAAAGATCCTCTTTGAACAGATGGACTTCCATCAGGGACACTGTTGTCTTATTTGTAAGATGTGGTACTCATTAACAGTTGTACCAGAGCAGGGATCCTGTGTTATTACAAAGACAGCAGAGTAAATGTACTCTGTGTTTCAGACATTAAAATAGAGGCATAAATACAGTAAATGCATTTTACGAAGTAAAAAATTTAAATGGCCAACTGAATGGCAGAAAATTATTAATTTAGGAAAAGAAACAAGTAAAGTTGACTGAGAAAGTCAGGAGAAGGGGAGATACCCCATAAAATACTCACTGTAGTTTTCTTGACGGTCTGGGTGACATTTTTGTAAGAAAATAAAACTAAACACCTTTAATCAAATTCCACTCTACACTAAAATAAAAGCAATTCCCAAATGAAAAAGTCTTGTATGAATCCATTAAGGGTAAAATAAACAACAATTCTATTTTACTTCTTTTTGTGTAGCTTACTGCAATGCCTTGTACATGTGCAAAGAAGGACTCGGATATGGTTTGAATGAACAAGTGATGAAAAAACAAAACAGTCAACTATGAGTACACAGTATACAATACAGAACAAGAAGCAGCCCATTCCTGAATAAAGGAACAGTATGAAAAGAAATTCTTGAAGGAACTAAGGGCAATAATTACTATGGTTCAACATTTGTTTGTCTTGACATGTATCACCTAATAAGAGAGAGATTTATGGAAACAAAAAAAGCAACATTGTTAGAAGAAAAATAAAATAATTAGAAAATGTGAACAACTCAGGCATCAAAAAAGACAAAATAAGTTGAAGAGAAACAGAGCATTACACTGTCATGTAGTATGGAATTGTTATCACAACATTAGAAAGCAATGCAGAAACAGAATTTAGGGTTTTTTTTTCACTGATTGCAAAACTAAAAAGAAACAGCTGGAGGAGCATGCAAACAAAAAACACCCGGCTGCAACTGAGTAATTTTAACACCATTAATAAACACTAAAAAGTATGAAAAACAATGTCCAGCAAATACAGTGACACAGTGAAAGAAACTGAAACAATACAAGGCAGAGGTACAGAGAGAAAAATGAAAGTATTCAAAGAAACTAAAGCTGATTTGAATATACATTTTACTGAACTATGAGCTAAAGAAATGAAAGCTTTGAGCCTCATTCTTCCCTGCAGAACGCTGTTATCTGGGAGGCATGGGCATGGTTGAGAAAGGATGTACTGAAATAAGATCCGGTTATCAACATAACTGACCTCTTTGTTATTCTTTTGCTGTTGTTTAGTTGGTTGGGGCTTTTTAGGATTACAACAAAGGCACATTTAAAAAAAGAAAACCTCATAATTGCTATATTAATTACAAAATCTGTAAGAACCCATAACTAATACTGCTGAAGTTTCTATTAAATGTACTTTACCTTAGCTTTCCCTTCAAGGGCTCCAGTTCCAGCATAAATTTTACTGACAGAATCACCATTCACAGACCACATGGATCGGAAAACTTCCTGAAAGCGAGTAACCAACTGAGGCTTCTCAGCTAATCCTAACACCTCCAGTTGTTTTGTTAGCATCTGCAACAGTTGAAGACAACATTTGCAAAAGAAAAATGTTTAAATGCATTTATTAAAAGATTCATCATTTTTTCAGCATGTGTGCACAAAAATATCTTTGGTTTATATGTATCATTCTGAATAAACTGACACCATGTCATGTTTGAAAGGGTACACCACACATGTAACTTTAGCCTCCAGTATTTAATTTTCTTTTAAACATAGGCAGCAATGTAGGAAAATAATTATGTAGTTGATTTGTAAATATTTTAATATAAAAATTCAGTAGTTACAAGGTAATCGCTTTTTGGTTCCCAAGTCTTTCTACTTACATAATTTAGAGTTAGAGCAATTCACGTTTTTCCCAAAAAAGTGTAATACCAAACACACTGACCTCTATTACCTCTGCAGCAGCAAAAGAGCATGTGATCAGTGAAACAGGAATGGCTTCTCATTCACTCTGTTTTCATGCATAACACGCTGCAACCCTTTCTCCTTACCAGTCAATATACTTGAATTAATTTCCCACAATGCAGTCTATATAAAATGCATTTAAATTGTATACATACAGTACACAGAAAATGCATGATTCTATGATTATTTTACATTTAAATACATTACGTAAATGTCACACTATGCTCATGGATGTACAATGGGACATTGTACCTTGTTTGAAATCCTGGTTTATGAAATCATGATTATTTAAAAAAACTCAAGCAAATTTCTCGTGTTTGTGGCTACCACCACAATACTAAAAATAAATGCAAAAATTTAAAACTAAATAAAATGCTATTTTCAAGAGCTTTAGAAATCTTTAAAACCTTGAGATGTCCAACAGCAAGGAGGAGTCTAAAATGATGAATATATAATGACACAAAGGCAAAATTCTGAAGGTTGGTCAGAAATTAACAGAAGTTACAACAGGGAACTTGCAAATGAAATTAAGTATAAATAAACAAGAAGCTTCAGAAATTAGGTGCCTGATACTGTAATTTTAAGTGGTTATCCAGAGCTCAGTACTTGTTATATTAAATATCGATCATGTTAAAAAAGCAAGAATTCAAATATCTCATTTAAATAATTTTAAAATTAAGCAGCTCATGAGGATTTACTGTTTTCTTCTTCTTAATTAGTTTTATACTTTTAGCTCTCATATATTAGCTGAAATCATAATTTCAGCTCTCACCTTGTCTAAAAAAAAAAAAGAAAAGATAACACTTAATCCAGTTCTTAAAAGGATGAGAAAGGAAAAAATAGAGCTGCAAAGCTGTTTGCTTAATTAGTACTGTATTTATTAAAACTGTATAAAGGTTCATCCTTATGTCATACAAAACTACTGTATTATCAGCAAAATACGAGACTTTAGGTAATCATTTGTTTCTCCCATGGCAAATTAATAGAAGATGGACAGAGGTTCAAACTACATAACACGATACAATGCTGTGAGATTTTCAAAGCATGTTGCTACTCTTTCCACAGTGAACTAAGTAAGAAGAATTATTTTCCTTAATTTTTGTAACTAAAAGGTGTGGCCCCCTATGATGCATGCAAAGTTGAAACAATGGAGAAAAAAGCAGCAGATCTCTCAAACTGTACTGTAACCGCTACAGTATGTACTGATGTCAAATGTTAAGAGAAAAATTTCCAGAGTACTTGCATGAGAGTCAACAGTTCAGCATTATGTTTGATTAAAACACCAATGAACTGGCATCAGTGTTAACTTTGTAAACACAGCAGCAAAGCATTACATATTCCAGAATCAGAAATGTTTGTTCTACAGCTAATGAATTTTGCTGTTCTCATAGAAATTCCTCCTAGAGATGATAGAACAAGAGCATTTTAATTAAATAAAACTCAGAAAACAAAAGAATAATCATTTTACTTAGTTTCATGTTACAGCACCACAAGTTTTCATTTTTAAACATGTTAAGGATTTTACCTTTAGGAGCCAATCTTAGTTTATTAAGATGAGTGGAGCTGTCAGCAGTTTTTCAGAGGTGCTCTTTTAGACCAATCAGTACTATTTTACTCCATCCATTCCTATCAGGTTCAAGCTCTACTGTATAAGCCTTCAGGCTAGAATCTTTATTCCAACAACAAGCCAATATGCTGAAGCACAACCCTGCAGAACTGAATCCCACGGTTAATTTCAAACTACTCAATTTGAGTGTGGCCAAAGCCTTAACCACGGTACCATAACATGAAGAATTCAGAGCCCAGTGCTGTGAAAATATGAACACATAGCACTGGCAGATGCTAAGAACAGTAATCCTGTATCCTGAAAGAACTTAATCTGATAGAGTAGCTGTGAATGCAAGTGTTTTTGTGAAGGACTACAATACTACCACCTCTTCTAAAATGGCAAGCCCGAACCTTAACAGACATAAGAAACTGACACCTAAAAAAGAATTAAAATTTTTCATACTGCTGTATGACTATCACTTAATTACAACTACTACACTACTACTGCTTCTGTAACTACTAAGATCTGGTTGACGAGAACAAGAAAACTATCATGCTATAAATCAAACTGCCACCTATTCCAATTCATCTTTCACAGGGAAGGTAACACGACTTTTACAGCCTAATTGGTACAGAAGCATCCGCAGGAGTTGTGTATCTGGAACTGTTTTTCCTACCTCCAAGCCAAAGAAAGCTTGTACGCTGTTTGTTCTATCCAGACAGTCCAAGCAGTTTGTTCTGACAGTACCGCTTTGAGATCTGTGCCAAGGACAATGAGAGACAGAGAAAGAAAACAACTGAAATAACTCATTTAACACACATACCGTCAACAAAGACAGGGACATCAAGATCTGAATCAGAACAGTAAATCAGGGTATTGTCAAGGCAATGTTACTGTCATCACAAGTATGTTTATAAATGCATCAGCAATAGAGGATTATTTCCAATAACAACAGTAAATTTTGCAGCAGTGTTCACTTTAAAAATCTGATTTATTTTCTGCAAATAACATGAGTCTTTCTTCTTCACTTTTTCTCAGTTCTCCCTGCTTGCTTTGTTAAAGTGTTATGCAGGATTAAGTTTTCTTTTCAAACAATCCTAACAAACACACTTCCCAGGAATCTCAGGGATATAGAAACTTTTAGTTAAAACAAAAAGGAAACAAAAAGGGGAAAAAAAAATTAAGTTAGGACAGTTTTGGATTTGTTTAACTGAACTAAAAGTAACAAGAAGTTGTGATAAAACTAAAGCCAATTTCAACCCCTCATTACTTTCTCTTTCGTCCCTAAACAAAAATGAAAAATAAGCCCCTTCCCCTTAGCTTAACAGATGCTCGAGGTCCTCACACATGCTGATCTGCTCCCCTTTCTTTGAGAAGCCCATTAACTTGCGCTACAAAGCTCTCAGAAGGATCATATCAGGCAACATCCACATTCTCCTTGCCAAGCAATAAGTACAAAATTCTGATGGCTCTTCCTGTCACAGACATTCATTCCTTACCTTTATCATTCCCACTACACACTGCTCAATTAAGTCAGAAAGGCTTCACCACATTTACTTGTAAATCTAACTATAAACTGTAAAAAGTTTTGAAAAACTTTCTCCAAGATTATTTTTTTCATTACTATCTTCGTATGTGATATGAAATGTGAAGCAACTTGCTACGTGTGTTAGAAAAAAATCCCTAATATCCTCCAAAGTAGATGGTCCATGAGCTGACAAAATTTGTCACTGTACCTAATAAAAGGCACAATTCCTCAAGCTATCACAAGCCACAGCCTATTTTGCTTTCATTCTGTTGTCAGTCTTTTTGATGGGTGACAACATTGTCTGCATCTCCATCAAGACCCATGGTGTTCCCCCAACACAAAATATCACACCACTTTTAAAGCATGTGACATTTTGAGGTGGAAAGGGAACCTAAGCACCCTCCCGCTAAATCTAATTTTACTCAGGACTAGTACAACCCACCCAAGGGTGATTTAATCCCACAGCCAGGTTAGAGCACAGAGTGGAAGTGGAACCCTCTTCTCCTAACGCACTAGAAATGATAAAACCCCACTGCTCATAGCACAATCCCCTCATTCAACAATTCTCTTTCCCATGGAGAACCTCACTCCAGAGTTTGCTCTGGCATTAATTAAAAGGAGGAAGGATGTGGAAGGGAGAAGTGCAGGAATGTTGCCTATTTCTAACCCTGCTTCCCTGCTGTTGCAGAAGAAGGAACACAAGCACCGCCTTTGCTCTAGGAAGAGGGGTGTGGAAATGGGGACAGAAGAACAAGTACAGCAGGAGCGGGAAGCATGGAACAGGGCAGAAAACATGCATTCCATTCACATTTTGTGGAGAACTTAACCTCTCAAATGGGGGACCTAGCTGCACACAAAGATTGCACTGAACATCAGCATTTACAACAAACAGAAAACGGTATGCTCCATCACTGAGGAAAATACGAATAACATTATACAGGAACATGGAAAACCACGCATTCTTAAAGCCCATATGGGTGCACTCAAGAAAAAGGATGAGTGCCCATTTTTACCAAAATTACCATGTGAATGGCCTGAAATTAAGTCATGCCCCCTCAATGTCTCAGAGATATTTTCCATTAAAATTTTTAGAGCATATTCAGAATGACAAGAAATTTTAGTAAGTGACTCATATTTCAGTTGATAAGCACCATCTTGAATACAATAAAAATACAGTAACAAGTAACATTTTTTCTCTTATCTTCTTGCCAATGGGTGAAAAAATCTCAGAAACCATTCAATTTGAAGAAATTTACAGAAGTCACACACACAAACCTTTTAACTTCCTTTCCATCAAAATAAAAAAATCCACACTCTAAGAATTTCTGGACTTGAGGTTTAAGCACACTGTGCAGTTTTTCTGCTTTTCCACCTTTAACCATTTGATGATAGTCGAAGTTCACCATTTTGATATCAGTTGAATGTTCAGATGCTTTCAAATGGCTCTGACATTGTAAAAAGAGAGGAAAACGATATAAATACACCAAGATCTGAACACATAGCAGTATAAGCTATGTAAGAGGCTACAAATATTTTTAAAGCTGTTTTCTTAGCTATCTTCTTTATTACATGCTTTCTCTTAGGTAAAATGAAATAATTTTTATCACTATTGTTCAACAAATCACTCAGAACTGATGAATATTTCCCTGTGTGTTTCTCTTTTATGTCACAAAGTCAATTTTTTCATTACTATACTAGGGGTCACCAAGACAGTCTACAGCCGCTTCTACTGTTAAAATGCTTTGATTTGCAATGAGTTGTTTCAGTGGAAATCCTTTCATGAACAGGCACCATTTCAGACACACCTATCGGCAACAGGGACTGAGTAAACTCCCTGTAAACTGCTATTTAAAAAAACAGTCCGATTACTTAGGCTGCTGTGAAGGGTTGCTAGAGCAAAACTTTCCTTAGTATTCCCTGAACAATCCTGAAGTGCTCACATAATCTTTGTTGGCAAAGCTGTGATCTGTATTGATATGTATCTGGGAGCACTAATGTCTCCTACCAGGATTGCTGGATACAGGGAGGCTACAAGTGAATCACATTAAGACATTCAACCATTATAATACAACGGGAGAGGGAAAAAGGGAAAGGGAAATAACAGATGGCTAGTGTTCTCTGGCTTCAGACAGAACTTCTCAAATTGTCAGTACAACGTGACAGTTATTTTTAACCTAGCTAGTGGGAATTCATGAAAATGGCCACTTAGAGTTAACATCTTCTGAACAAACATTCCTGTCTAATCATGAACCAGCTTTTATGTTTAAATTGACTAAATTAATTTTTTTAAATATTACAGAATATATCCAGGAGGAATTCCAAGGAAAAGATTTTAAAAATAAACATCACAGTAGCATTTATTTATATACCAATTTTATAGTGCAAAAAGGATTTGTTTTTAAAATAAGCCACTATTAAGCATGAAATATGAAAATAACTTAAAATCCCTCAACACTTTGTTGCTGATAGAATTATTCAGTAAAGTAACTAATCTGAACATAATCAAACACTTTCTGTATCTTAAGTACTGTTTTTATGATAATACAATTTTAATCACAAGCGGTAGAGCGCAGCATACCTGCTTCATTTTTCGAGGGCTATATAAAAGCTTCATCACAAACAGGCAAATTCCAAGGATATGCACAGTGAGAGAATTGACATACTCACCTGAAAAGCTTTGCTGAGCATGTGCTCCCCTTCTTTTGCCCCAAGTAAATTTACAATTATTTGCTTGCCATATAAATTTTTAAGAGTTTGGAAATGCCTGTTAACAGAAGAAAAATTCCACACTCATCTTCTGGCATGCACAAAATTAACACAAGCACCTGCAATACTGGCTGAGATGTTGTAGAAACATACTGGGTACTCTCATACTGCCGCAAGCCCTTTATTATGTCATGTCCGAACAAATCAATAAAACTCAGCAATAGCACTAGCCACTGACTGCTATTCAATTAGGATAAACAGCACCAATTTAACAACATACATTTAGTTAGAACCATAAGGCTATGAAGCTGAAGTGTCATGGCAGGAATAAAATCAAAATATAGATTTTACTTTCATACAGCAGCTGACAAATACAGATTATTCAATGTAAGCATGCTATAATTTTGGTTTGATTTTGGTTGGTTTTGGTTTTTGTTTTTTAATTTAACAAAGTATTTCACTATTTTAAATTTCCTTCAAAGTTTTCAACACTCAAAGGCACACATTTGTATAGGCAGAGCCTCCCATCCCTCTGATGCATCACTTGTCAGAGGTCTGTAGTGCATTAACAAAAATTTAAGACATTCTTTCACCTGTCAAAAGCTGGTGCATTCGCCTCAAAACCCCTTGACATTCTGACACGATGGGATCCCACCTATGACATGAAGATTGCATTAAATTATTTGTCTTTACACATTTGATGAATCGTTCTTCAAAGACCTATTTTGATCCTAAATATGGCCTAAAAATTCATTTCACTTTCTAAATGAAATCTTCAAAATTTATTCTTCATTCTATGGCGTGCACTCTCTTTTTACGCTTTTCTTAAATTCCTCTTCTTTATTTTTCTAAAAACTGGGATGAAATTATATTACAAAAACTTGATCCATATTGCCTATCTGAGAAGACATAGTCTCATGAGCAATTCAGAAGACAGTCTCGTTGGGTGTCCTTAAATAACCTATTTTAAAATAGCAATTTAAACATAAAAACTCGGAATTTCAAAGAGAAAACATCTAAAAACCAGTGGTCATTCAAATCTTATGCAAAACAGCATTCAGAGACTTGAAAGCAGCAAGCATGGTGAATTAATAACACCAACTTGCTCCTGAAGGATGACCTCATCCTGACAGGTAACTGTGCAGAAGAGCCTAAATGTAAGGTGTTTAAAAAGACATTAATAAGAATTATCTGTAAGACTAAACTTATCTTCTGCTTACCTGCAGACCTGGCTGCTCCCAAAATAATGGAACAGATCCTCGAATCTGTATGAAAGATGACACAGAGTCATCCAAAAATATCACCTGTTGAGGAAAAAAGAACACCAAACATTAGCGTTAATAGGTTTATTAGCCTTAGCTAAACATAGGGTAAATAAAATACATTTACATATTACATATTGCACACTATAAGCTAAAATATTAATCATGTTCCCTAGACTCTCTCTCTACACTCTGAACAATTCATAAAAGAAGCTCTGGCAGGCTCATACACCCCTGCAGAATCATGATTCACAACATCTAAGAAAACACAACACGCTTCTGTTCTTGCGGCCTGAATGATTTCAATGCTAAGAGTAACTTGTTTTAAAAAACCTTGTTAAGACCTTCCTGTAGGAACAGTTATAATGTACACCCAATGCACAGAAAGTAACAGTACCGCCTACTAAGAGCACCTGCACAGATTTTGTGCATCAGAATCCAAAATACAATGGTCTACTAAAGTTTCCTGTATGTTTAAGTGGAATGACATGCCAGTCATTCAACGACATTAGCCTAACAAAAAAACTTGGAGAAGCTGTACACCACTCTGTCCTAACTACAGAAATTGGATGTGTACAAGCAGAGCCTTTCCTGGATAAAATCCTGCTGAAGTCACCAAAACTTAGCGAAGTGTCAGTGAGTCAACCAAAGATACCTACTCGCATGGAGTTGCAGGAACATCTTCACAACTAGATTACCATAAGAAGTAAGCAAAGAAAGGCCAGGAAAGAATGATTTAATGGCTTCTTGCATTTTTGAATAATAAGGGCAAAGATATTCAATGCAATGCAGCAGAATTACAGTGGCTTTAAGAACTACCTTTCACAGGAGCTGCGTTAAGTAACCCTAGGAATGCTTTTATCTTTCCTGAACCACAGGGTACTATCTATTTGCAAAAAATCTCTTTTGCTTGTTTCTAAGGCTTTTTACTTTATTACTAGCTCAGGCCCAAAGACGTACATGCTCACCTACAGCCCAGGAGGCTGAAAGGAAGTACAGCCACCTGTAACAGTTCAGCTGATGGATAACAGCTTCTTAAGCTATTGAAATTCAGACCCGTGCATGCCCTTACCCTAAGCTACACTGAAAACCAAGATCATCAAATTATGATCTTAGCAAAGGAACTATTATATTAAATAGCAAAGGAACTATTCAAATATCTGTTGATCACAGACTTGACTTGTTGATCTATTGATTTAGGGCAACAAAACTATCCACAGATATGCTTGAGTTCATCACCCAAGCAATTTGCACTGTAGTGTAACATACCTGCTCTGTTTCAACAAAGTTAGCAACATGTCCATCATCATTTGTTCCCCGAACGTTAAATCTGGTGCCAGCCCGCTCACAGCTCAGTCGTGAAATGAGACAAGCCTTTGCCTGCTTGTGAGCCGCATAAATTGTCCTTATCTCCACTCCTCCACACATGAGACGTAACAACCAGTCATCACAGTTCACACCATAGTGCTTCAGATGTAAATGCAGTGACTGGTTCCTATCAGGAAAAATACAAAAAAAAATAACTGGAAGGAAATAAAAGACAGCTCAAATTGCTAAGCCAGCTACTAACTTCTTATATTTTACACCCACTACTAGAAATAAGAAAATAAAAATATTTAAGCATACCTGAAACAGCAAATTTTACAAGAGAACAGCTTAAATGTTCACACAATAAGAATATGGGGTGAAGCAATGAATTTTAATTAAAATAACAGCCCTTAAAAAAATAGCCTTATAGCCTCTGCTCTTCACCCAGCAAAAAACAACACTCCAAACTTGTTTATATTTCTCCACTCAGCCTCGTTTTGAGAAGTCAAAGATTACAGACTCTGGCAAAAAGCAAGCCAGAATTCCATTTACAGGTTACGTTTTGTGATGGGTAAAGCACCATTCAATTTCACATCATCACAAAATTAAGCTAGAAAAAAAGTTTTGTCAACATACATTGATCATTACTATTACAAGTTACCCTAAGGCATTATTTGCCCAGACAAGCTTCCCAGAATACACTGATAGCCAACTGATTTTCAAATTTCTGTAAATACAAATTTCAGGGTTAAGTGTTGGTACATTATATATTACATATACTGTTCACTAATACCAATTACAACTCAAATGAAAGAAAGACCCACAACTTGCATATACCTGTGCATTAAGTAGTACCAATCAACACTGTAGTACGTAAATAAGACTAAAGTTTGGGGTTTGTTGAGAGACAGAGTTCCACTCTAGTGGGGCTTGGCTTTTGATCTTCTTTGGAAACCACCCAGAAAACAACATATTTGATTGAAAGGTTGAAGCGATTCACTTCAGTTTTAGCCTTTTCATTCTAACTTCCAATACAAAAAACAGAACAAACTTATAAAACACCTCAGTTCAATTATTAATGAGGATTCAAATCCTGTAAACCAAGTATGCATTCACTCTACAGAAAAGTATTACAACAGGAAACTGAGAAAGCAATCTGGGACTGGAACTTTTGAATTGAAAAAGCCCAAGAAAGCTTACAAGTGCATAAGCAGAATACTTTCTGTTACTGACTTTAATGTTTACGTTCCTATTCTTGGAATCTACCTCCTGCGAGGACTGATTCTTACTGAAAAAAAGAGTCAGGTAACTTCAGAAGTCTTATGACAGGGGTCAAAATCAGACAAGCTTATTTGGACAGGGTCAACAGGCATCATCACTTCTCAAGCCTTCAAATACTGACTTATCAATGGAGAACCCAGTCTTTTTCCAGATGCAGAGACAGACAGCTGGTTACAGATAGGCTCCTGTAACTCCTGTAAACCTACATCAAAGTAGATGTGTTTCTGAAGACAAGAGCTTATTTTCTGTCTTAATACATATATTTTGTCTTATAGAGCAATCTGATCATAACAGTGGCAAAGTGTAGAGTAGCACTGGCACATATGGCAGAGCTGGTTTGGCATCCTGTATATTGGACAGGAGAGGCAGGAAGATGTAGCTTTTCACCTGTCCTAACAGCACACTGCCAAACCTTCAGGACCCTTTCAAGGTTCATGGACACATACACCATTTTTAACCACAGCTGAAAATACGGGAGCAGAATTTCTTACACAACAGTATGCATTACTGGCATTATTTAAGCTGCTTATTGGCAGAAACAGCAGAATTCCTTTTACCAAGAATTCTCTGTGTGAAAACCTATACTTTATTCAAAAATACTCTGTAAATAGACACTGAATTCAGCAGCCAAGCAATGTGCACTGTAGCATAGCCTACCCACTCTGTTTAAACAAAAACAGCAATACGACAATTATGTGTACAGTAACACTTTAAAAGCCCTTTCGTTTGTTAGAAACCTACTTGAAAACTATATATAAACACCACACCATTTTAGAATCCAGAATGTTCAAAGGATGAAAATTTTCTTTAAAGCTCTATTACCTTACTGATTTTAAAAAATTGACACATTTTATGAAGAATTAAGACACCAAAGCTGAAACACATCATGACAACTGTTCATATCAAAGTAATATAATATCATAAGCAGTGTAAAACAGCGTCTTCCAATTAAGAAACTCCAAGTAGCCATGGAAATGTTATATCATTAATAGTATATTTATGTCCTTAGAGATAAAATAATGCTATTCTATCTCATCAACATTTTCATGACAAAGGTGTACATTTAGGAGCTGATAAAGAGAACACTAAAAACTTGCCACAGATTAGTCTGCACAGGCATGAAATATTCTACACAGTGGCTGATAAAATGCACTTTGAACTCACCAGAAGAACCTATTGTCAGTGGTGTGCTCCTGCATGCTGCGGTGAGCATTGAGACTAAGATCTAAACTGACCCCAGTTGCAGACCATGCAAAATAAAAGTTGCCCGAGTTCAAAACTTTGCGCACTTCTGAAATACGATCCTCATCTGTTGAATCAATCCGTAACGACACAAACTCGGTGGAAGTAACTCGAAAAACTTCCGAGTCTTGAATCTTTCCCACAGACATGCATCCTGTTACTAGAACCAGATAATGTAACAATGTGTCTCCTGTTAAAACAAGAAAAGGCACATATAACAGAACGAATCTTGGTGGAGGGTGACATATTCAATGCATTCAAATGCTTAAATGTACACATCCTGACCCCCAGTTTGCCTGAAAAAAGTACAAAAAGAATCAAGAACTCAGTTTCAAGTTCTACAGAAGAAAAGAAAATGCAAACAGGAGAAACTGTGCTGCAAACAACAAGGATTGTGAAAACGGAAGTTATTTTTGTCCACTCCCTCATATCTGGGAGTGCTCCAAAGTTGCAAGTTACTTGATGAAGACAAAAAATAAAAAGCAACAAAGAGCTCAGTTCCTGTTGCAAGCATCCTGTGCTGTGCAGTTTTACAGGAGCAGCACAATTCTCTTTCCCAAATGAAAAATAAGGCTTTACGTATTTTACTCACCAAGATTTAATCTTAATACACCCAAAAGACCATATGCATCCATTACTTTGGAATAGGTATTCTTGATTGTGTCTTTTTCTGCAGAAGCTATGGAGAGAAAATGTAAGATCTTAATGATGCAGAAGACCATACACTAAGACAGGGAGAATGAGTCCACTCTAAACTGAAAATCTGAGATTACAAAAGTAGCATTTATGTGAAACTTCTGGAAAGAAATCAAAATGTATGAGCATATGGCATTTTATGATGGAAAATGAGTATTTGATTTTATGACAAATTATGATCATGCTATGTTTTTAGGCAACAAAAATAGGACTTGCATAAACTCCAAGTGATATTAAAGGAGAACACTGGCATTTTTAACATCATCACTAATATAAAAAGCATCTAAAACACAGGCAAATGAGTTCCATGGGTATGCTCTCCCTTAATTAGTTAAAATTAGAGTATTGCAAAATGCTTTTTTTTTTCCCCCCATGAAAAGAATAGATCTCTAAGAACAAAACTGTGATGCGGCAGTATTATTTCCAGATAATTAAACAGGATTATCACAAGCGCATTTTAACTAGTGCTAAATATATTCCAAGCAAATAAAATCTTTAGTAGGTCCACAAGATAACGGTATTTAAAAGCCATGCCTTAGATTAGGAAAACACGATTTTCATAGGCCCACAAGATAACGGTATTTAAAAGACATGTCTTAGATTAGGAAAACACAATTTCCATAGGCTTTTTTTGGGGGGGGGGGGAAGTAGTATTTTAGAAGAAACTGAAGTATATCTACCATTATTCACCTGGGAGTTAGCGTACACTTTAGAACTTTAATCAGCACTTGAAAAAACAGACCCACGAGCTTGACTGTACAGCCAGGTGATGGAGATGCTACGGATCCCACCTGTCCTGAGATTTTTGCTCATGACGGAGACTGCAATTTAAGTGCAAAGACCAACAATTCCAGCTGTGCCACTGGATCCACAGGGATCAAGATTTCTGAATCACCAAGGATCAGCACTTTCTCCCTCCTCAGAAATTACCTGATAATTAATTTTCACTTTGACAATAAAAAAATCAAAATTTCACATAAAGAAAAGCATAACTCAAAATACCTATTGCCCTGGCATCGTATTGTGCTCTCTTTCACATTGGCTGTATTTTCTTTAGAACTGCTGCTGTGAATTTTTCTGAGTATTCCCTCAGCTTAGCATAGCTCTGCCTGTGCACAAGCCTATCCCTTCTGTTCAACTGTCCACCAGCTTCATTATTAAAGTGGATACGAAACTCCAATACAGAAGAAACAACTAGCTAACCTCAGCCCCAAACCTAAGCTCATTCAATGTTTTAAGTGCATTTTAAAAGCTTAACTATTTGCACTGATACACTGTATTCCCTTAAACCAGATGCTAAAGATAAGAGAATTATAGCAGCATGATTATTTCTGAAGTCCTCACCCATAGTAAGTGTTGAGATCCACAGCAATCTAAACATATTGTTTACAGACATTGATTTTGTTAGCATCACCAAACCATGTTTTTCTTAACCAGATCACCATCAGGCTGGAAAAACCAACTTCAAAACCTGGAATTCATTCTTCCAGCAAGCATTTAATGATGTCAGCCTATTCCTATAAACTCAACTTTTGGTAACCAGAGAACTGTCACAGTCTTCTTTCATTTAAAATTATTAATGAAAGACTGAGGTTTAGTTTCAAACCTTTTGCAGGATTTTTCTTAAAGGTGCCTGCCAGCATTTAGTGACATTTCAGAAGAATGTTTTTTCTGTCTTCTATGGATTTATTCTCTTTTTCCATGGCACAGAACGCCCATTATAAGTAAATCCCTTAATAAGTAAATGCCTGAAGTAAATGAAGTAATATGGGCTTTGTAAATTCAGATCAACAAAAAAAGGCTACTGCGAATAAAGCAGCAAAGGGTTGAAAAAACAAACATAAAAAAATGGAAATTTAAAAACTTACTGTGGTTAGTGAATTATTATTTTCTTAGCAAAGTATCCAAGCACCAACCAAAAGCATTTCTTCACCAAAGCAGTAAGTTTCAAGAAGATCTATGCTCTGTCACTTCATTCAGCATGAAAAGCCATTGGATACAGCTGGATATGCAAGAACCACTGAAGGGACCCCGTCACTACAGTATCTTACATTCAGTGAATGCAAAGTCAACTTTCAGTTTCCTCTATGAACAGCTGAAATTACCAACTGGGTGAACTGCATCTTAGAAGTTAAACCACAGGAAGGCTAAGGTAATCCCAACAGAAGGAGAGAGCATCTTCAAGAGCATTTCCGAAAGCATTTCCTCTCTAACATTGTTAATGAACGAGACCACCTCTTCCCAGAATGGCAGGTTGGTCTGCAGCCATGAGAACCCTTTTGACTTTGATTTATGAGCTCCACATCTTGAAAAGAACTGCAACTAATACAAATATGCACTCAGAAATCAAAATACCCAAGTCCTGCAAAATCAATGGACCCATTTCGCCTTGAGAAACTGACTTTTCTATTTACTGTATCTTTAAATAGCTGGAAGTAAGCAAACATAATTAAAGTTGTCTGAAAAAAATATAAAATGATGTTACTCACTAAGACCAAATTAAGACATGCAACTTCTAAAGACAGAAATTAACAACTGGAATGACGACTTTCATCCATAACACTGGCTTTAACAGATTTTAAATTATACTGTAAAGGAGCACTAAACAGTAGACAATGCTAGCATACATATGTCTGTGTATAAAGATGGACACAAAACATTACAAGGCAGTATTTCTTCTATAGCTTTATATGTCTCTAAGCACCTCATCTACGTATCTTTTAAATACCTCCAGGGATGGTGACTCAACCACTTCCCTGGGCAGCCTGTTCCAGTGTTTGACAACCCTTTTGGTGAACACATTTTTCCTAATATCCAATGTAAACCTCCCCTGATATAACTTGAGGCTGTTACCTCTTGTCCTATCACTTGTTACCTGGGAGAAGAGACCAACACCCATTTCACTACAACCTCCTTTCAGGTAGATGTAGAGAACTATAAGGTTTCCCCAGGACTCTTTCTCTCAGACTAAACAATCCGAGTTCCCTCAGCAGCTCCTCATAAGACTTAATCTCCAGACCCTTCACCAGCTCCACTGCCCTTCTCTGGACACGCTCCAGGACCTCCACATCTTTCTTGCCATGAGGGACTCAGAGCGGAACACAGGAATCAAAGTGCAGCCTCAGCAGTGCCGAATACAGGCGGACAATCACTGCCCTAGCCCTTCTGTCTATGCTATTTCTGATACAGGCCAGGCTACTGTTGGCCTTCTTGGCTGCCTAGACACAAGCTGGCTTGTGTTTAAGCAGCTGTCAATCACCAGCCCTAGGTCCTTTTCCACTGAGCAGCTTTCCAGTCACTCTTACCAAAGCCTGGAGCATTGCATGGGGTTGTTGTGACCCAGGTGCAGGACCCAGCACAGAGCCCTGGTTGAACCTCGTACCACTGGCCACTGCCCATCAATCCAGCTGTTTTTTTACCCAGTGAAGTGTATGCCTGTCCAAGCTATGAGCAGCCAGTTCCTCCAGAAGAATGCTGTGGGAAACAGTGTCAAACGCTTTACTAAAGTCTAGGTAGAAAACATCCATAGCTTTTCCCTCATCCACTAAGTGGATCACCTTGTCTGAGAAGGAGATCAGGTTAGTCAAGCAGGACCTGCTTTTCATTAACCCATGCTGACTAGGCCTGATCCCCTGGTTGTCATGGATGATATGCTCCATAACATTCCCCAGCACTGAGGTCAGACTAACAAGCCTGTAGTTCTCCGTCCCTGGGCATCGCATTTGCTGGAACAACTGGAACCTCCTCAGTTATCCAGGAGTGCTGATACATGATGGAAAGTGGCTCAGTGAGCACTTCTGCCAGCTCCCTTAGTAACCTTGGGTGGATCACATACAGCCTCATAGACTTGTGTCTGGCTACTGGTATAGCAGGTCACTGAGTATTTCCCCTTGGATTATGGGGGCTTCCTTCTGCTTCCCATCCGTGTCTTCCTGCTCAGGGGGCTGGGAACCTGGAGAACAAGTGGTCCTACTATTAAAGACTAAGGCAAAGAAAACATTAAGTACCTCAGCCTTTCCCTCATTTTTTGCCACTGTTTGCTCCCACATCCAATAAAGAATGGAGGTTCTCCTTTACCCTCCTTTTGTTGCTGATGCATTTATAGAAACATTTTTTATTGTCTTTTACAGCATTAGCCAGATCAAGTTCTAGTTGGGCTTTGGCTCTTCCAATTTTCTCCTTGTATAAAGTCATGACATCCTTGTACTCCTCCTGAGTTGCCTGCCCCTTCTTCTGAAGGTCATAAACTCTCCTTTTTTTCCTGAGTTCCAGCCAAAGCTCTCCGTTCAGCTAGTCCAGCCTTCTTCCCTGCCAGCTTGCCTTTTTGCACATGGGGATGGCCTGCTCCTGCATCTGAATCAAGCATTCCCCCTTGAAAAATGTCCAGCTTTCCTGGACTCCTTTGCCCTCCAGGACTGCCTCCCAAGGGACTCTTCAACCAGCCTCCTAAACAGGCCAAAGTCTGCTCTCAGGAAGTCCAAGGTAGCAGTTCTGCAGACTGCCCTCCTTACCTCTCCAAGAACTGAGAACTCTTGTCATTTTGTGATTGCTATTTAGCATACACATATTTAAAAAAAAATAAAAATCACAAAACTTTTAATGCAGTTTTCAGGTCCAGTTGTAATACATTCTTGTAAAAGGCCACCAGGCCTCATATGCAGTGTCAAGAGAGAAAGAATAAAATATTTTAAAGTCAATATTCATTAAAAATTAATTGGTCATAGTATCTTTAAACATTAACATCTCTTGTGCTCCAAGTTAAATCACAAGTGTGCATCTGTAATAATCACCCCTTATCAATCACTAACTTATTTAAGAAAGGTGAATGATTCAATGATTTTAAAGTGATTATGTCAGCCCTCTTACTGTTACGCAAATGAAACCCCCATGAAAATCTTGTCTTCAGGACAACTTGGCTCAACAGGTGTTCTGCTTAATTCCATATTACAAAGTTAAGATCATATTAAAGGTTATCATTTAGACTTTCTACAGTTATGTTCTCTTCTTGGTGGGATCACAAGCTGTTATAACAAGACATTAGAAGTTAGTGGCTGTAATTCCCAGCTAGAACATGGGACACTGAGCTGGCAACAAAGACACACTCCTGAAATTATGTTCAGTTTCTTTGGAAACTCATTTTCACTTCACATTCACTTTTCACCCTTACTCACTTCACAAAGACATTTATATGTTACCATAATCAACACATATACTTAAGACTATAAGAAGGAACCCTCAAATAACAAATCATCTCTACCCAGCAATGAAAAAAACCCCAGACATGTCTAGATGTTAGCAATTATATTTAACTACTATACACCAGAAAACAAACAAAACCACCATTTTTTGGAACAGCAAGTTAAAAAAAATAAATTGCAACATGAGCAAATAAAAGGCTTGTTTGCTTTAACTCTATTCTTCAATACTATGCAAATTTACTTCACAAAATGTGTCGTTTCAACTAACACCACTGACAAGGGGGAAGAATCCAAACTGAGAAATAAAAGTGTGAAAACAAGGCTGACCTATGTAACAGCCTACAAGCACTCCTTTCCATCTGATTTGGGCTGACTCAATTACATGTTCTCCATTGAAAATAAAACTTATGGCACAAATAATCTCCAAAGATTTTCTTCTAA